GAACACAGGACTCGAAATGTGCCCTCAGCAGTGCCCAGCACAGGGACAATCACTGCCCTGGTCCTGCTGCCACACCACTGCTGATCCAGGCCAGGTGCCACTGGCTTTCTTGGCCACCTGGGCACAGCTGGCTCCTGTTCTTTCACTCCCAGGTCCTTTCCTACTAGGAGGATTTCCAGCTACTCTTCCGTAAGCCTGTAGCACTGTGTGGGGTTGTTGTGAGTCAAGTACAGGACCCAGCACTTGTTGAACTTCCTACAATTTGCCTTCATTCGTTGATCCTGTGTCTTGCAGTAGAAATATTAGAAAAAAACTTGCTACAATATCTACTTTTAGTTAAAATCATCAATATAATATATTAACCCAAGGGAATTTGGGCTCATATATTTTATTATCATAACTTGTGAGCAAGTTATGATAATAAAATCCCTGTAGAATCATTGAATTCCATGTCAACTCCAAATCACAAGGTCAGTTGAGAAAATTGTCACTGGAAAAAAAAAATGTTGCTAGTACCTGATATGAGATCAGTGTACTTTTTTGCTATGAATTCACATTTTTATATATTAAATTTCCCCTCCCCCTCTGAGTCTTCTGTCACATTTCTTATCGGATGACCAGAGTTCACCTACAAGGGATGAACTTTCTGTCTCAGTCATGCTTTTCTGCATCAGCAGCTTTATCAGCTCCTGTTGACTCAGTGTAACCTTTAGTATTCAGCAGCAGTACTAAGAAATGCATAAAATCCATCCTATCAGATTAGAGATTCTGCTAACTATTAAGATTGGAGTAGAGTTAAGGAATCTCTTTAAAATAATATGCAGCATTTTTTTTATATTTTTTAAAGCTTTTTAACACCAGAGCAGGGGTTACCCTCAAATACATTTATTAAGAGCATAAAATATCCATTCAGTCATGCATAAACCACCAACATTCTAAAAGAGTCCAACAGAATGCACTCTTCCCATTTTGCACAACATAACTAATGCTCACTGCTGCTCATGCTTTTCTATCTGCACTTTAGTTCCTGCAGTGGAATACTGTTCTGTGCTGTAAAAACAATTCTGAACATGATGTGATTAACCTTAGGGTCCCCCCATCCCCTCATCTCAAAGCCCCCTCGTACATGGCCTGTGCTTTCTATTCATGTTCAACCATCTGATTTCCATATCATCTATTAGCATAACAGAGCTCTAGTGTGACATTGATTGAAGCCAGCACTTGCTGAATGCAGTATCAAAGCATAATTTGCCAAAAATCAAATCTAATTTACTGTGTACTATTTAAATTTCTCATAAAAAAAAAAAAAAAAAAGGAACGTTTCAACAGAAGTATATTGGGTCTGTAATCTTAATTGTTCTTTTTTCCCCACATATTTTTGGCTAGTCTGCTAGAATCTAAGCAATATATTTCATTTTAGAGCCAGTGTCTTTGACTTTCAGATGTCAGTTAAGCAAGAAGTTTTCCACTCTGCTCCTTCCAATCCAGTTTATGTTACATCTGAAATAGTAGAAAATAATAGTCTTCTAATGATCTTAATGTTTAGCTTGAACTAAGCATTAAAGTACCACATAATTTTAACAGCTGAAGCATATCGAGACTGCTGTTTCCTCTCTAACTGTACGCTTTCAGAATGTTTTAGAAATTCACCTACTTTGAGAGCAGCGATAATGGCTTGAATAAATTTTGCCCAATGTTCCACGGAAGCCACGCTTTGAGAAAGTCATGATCTCACTTAACCCTTCTGCAGAATGGAAGTAATAATATTTGTCTATATTTATAAACAGCATTCATATGTGAACATAATGAGCTCTCTTTTTAGGAAAATTGAAGAACCCAAGTGCTTATTCTGTCAAAGGAGCCTTGCTGTCTTTGAGCAGGGTCATGCTGCATTCTCTGGGGATAATGACAGTCACAGTATTTGGGTAGCTACATTTGACCAAGAATTACTCCTGCACTTATTAACTGTTGCTTTCAGCTTTCAAATTCAACTAGAAATTGACAGATAAAACTTATGTGGCGAAAACAGTCTTTAAATGCTGTAAACAATGGTATTTTTATCAGAGGCTGTCTCTAAACAGAGCTATAGTTGAATATGATAACAAACTGACAAAATGAAAATTTCCTTCATTTTATAACTTCGTCTTTGAATATTTTTTTTAATCATGAAAAAAATTTAGTTTTCAAAAAGAATGTTTTTCATGTCCTTTAAAATTATGGTGCTAAATGGTTTGGCTGAAGAAACTGGTTTTGTGCCCTATTTAATGGGAGTAAAAGCTCTGATTCATTTATTTTTATAGGGAATTTCTAGTAATCAGGGCTGCAGAGCAAAGCTAGAAAAGATATTGTTGCATAACTGTACGTGATTGTTTGCTGGATTCTTTAGAAAGCCTGACCTAGTAACTGTGAGGCCAAATATCTGCCCATGTAGTATGGTCAAACGGTGGAGAGGACTTGGTGTGTGGCAGGGAGAGATTAGGCAGCAAGATCATGCCACGTCAGAGCCACAGATTTATTTTCCTGGTCTGATTGGGGAAAAAAAAAAGAAAGAAAAGGGAAGTTCTTTCTTTGCTCTTAGGAAAGTGAGAGATGTTGAAAACTAGGAACAGATCAAAAACTGGAAACTAGGTAGAAACCAGGGTGTGTTTTTTCTCATTTCATTGTTCCTTGACTACCAAGTTACCTTAATTTCATCCTTGGATGGTCTTCTACAGTGACAAATTCAGTTGTGTGGTACCTGTTTAGAGCTCTGAATTATGGATTTACAGTAGAGATCTGTGTGTGTGTGAGTTTCAGATGAACTTTTATACTTGCCTCCCTTGCATTTACTCAGTTACATGATTTGAAGGACAGGCTCATGGAAATGCCATGCCCTTCTTGCCTCTGTTGAGCTGTCTGAGAGCACTGTCTGTGCATCCCCCCAGGGCACCAGGCAAGCCTAAGAAGTGAATTTAGCCATCCATCCTGCTTAGGATAGATCTATGGGATAGTCTCCTGACACCAGGATTTTAGGCACCGTAGGAAGATTGTGGTCTTGGGGCCACACAAACACTGCCCTGACTAGAACACTGCATTTCCTGGCACCTGTGGGGGTTTCATGTGGATATGCTGGGTGATACAAGGAGAGGGAAACCCAAGTAACTCACTGCAGCTCAGCACTTGAGGAGTGCTGTAGCATGAGTTCAGTTCCTAGGTATGTTTGGCAACACCTTATAGAAAGCTCAAAACAGGTGGCCATGAGCAGGCAGCAAGAGGGCACCTCACCCTTACTCCTGCCTGTTCATTAGATTAACACCTCCTAAAGTGGAGGAAGAGGTGGACATTTCTCTCCAGAGGGGCCCAAACCTCTCTTTAGGAGTGTGAGGCAGAAGGAAATACCCTCTACCTTCTAAACTGATTGTGATTCATGTTTATTAAGTTCTTGTTTTGAGTACCAGCACTACTCAACTGATGCTCTTTAGACTCCTGCTGATCTGTAAAGCCTTGGGAAGTACCTCATGAGATAACTGCAACGTGTGTTTCAAGAGAGTCAGGTCTGCTCACATTTCTATGCAGTTAGCAGGTTTGTGTCTGTGCTGTCAGCAGGTGTAATCGGAAGCTGGGTCTTGATTGCTCTTCGTGCCTAATTAAATAGTTTGTAATTATAATGCTGAAAATACGGTTTTCTAAAACACTTAAATTCTGTTTACCTGAAAGCTTAGTATTCCTAAACCATCCCTCTGCACACCCACAAAACCAGTAGTGGAATAGAAGAGAACAAGGGTGGGTTGAGGCATTTGAGTTTCTTTTGTGCCTTTTTTTCCCCTGCTTCAGCCTGCCCCAAAAGTTAGCTAGTCTTTTGACAAGAATATTTGGAGATGCTGCTTACATTTTTAAAATATGCAAAAGAGTATAAATTCCAGTGATGAACCAAGAGTGGAGAGTTTTCATGTCCCACATAGAAAAATAATTTGCTTTACTTCTATATCATGCTAAACATAGTTACTGATTTCAAGATTTTTATCTCAAATCCTCTAACATTTCTTCCCCATTCTCTTTATACTCATTAGCACCTTTTCTCTACCTTCACTACTAAAGCACTGACTCTCAATTCCCCACCATTACCCTCCAGACAAGTCAGACTATGCCACTCTCTTAGAAATCATTCACTTCTGACTGTGCTTCCTGGTCCCCTATGACTGAACACTGTTAATGCCAGCGACTTGAAAACAGAGCCAGCCCTGCTTCTTCTTTCTTGTTTTAACTCCAGTCTCCTTTTTCCTTTTCCTTGTGTCTTCCTTACCTCCTTAAATACCTATTCCTTCTTACTCACCACTCGGCTCTCCCCATCAACTCAACTCTTGCTTCTCTCTACTCTTTAAACTAGCTGAAACCTGGGTTACCAGGTTCCTGTTCTTTTAGCAATGATTCTTTTTACAGCAAGTCCTTTTCCTTACACCATTCTTTACCATATTGCTTCTAAGAGTAAGGGAGCTGTTGAACTTGGATTCTTTTGCTGTCATCCAGACCTTCCTCTCCTTTCATAATCATTTTTAAAATCCAGAGGGGCAGATTGAGAAAGGCAGTCTGTTTATCCTAATTCATACCTTGCAGTACACGATAGCTACAGCAAGCTCTGTGAAGTGTGAGGATCTGAGGGTGCTGATACCTTCCCAGAGCAAAGGTAGAATACATCCAGACTCAGCAATATACACACCTGACTCCTGCTCTTTAGCATTTAATGTCATCAGAATTGACTCTAGCATGTATGGTTGTAATGTTTCTTTCCTTTTTAAATTTTTTTTAATACCTGGGGATGTCACATACATATATTGCTGCTCTCTGTCGCTGTTGTTGTTTCTGTTTATATATGAATTCTGTCTATACTAATGAATGTTTCTGGTGTCATGTCCTCTGACATAAAACAAATCTCCATAATGTTGTCTTTTTCCCTTCAATATTCCCTTTCTCTCCCTTGCAAAATATCCTAAACTTACACCATGGTTATTCTTACCTTGTAGCTCCCCCACAGTTTGTGGTGAGACCACGAGACCAGATTGTAGCCCAGGGTCGAACTGTGACTTTTCCTTGCGAAACTAAAGGAAATCCCCAGCCAGCTGTTTTCTGGCAAAAAGAAGGAAGTCAGGTAAGTTGCAAGCACCCTATAAGTCTTTCAAGTCTTTCTAAATAGTTATATTGTTTAATTTTAAGGAAAAATATTTACATTATCTTTCAGAGTTTTTTTCATCTTTCAAAGAAATATGTCTTTTTAAACTATCACTATTCTCTACTGAAATTTGTGTCACTTTTTTTCTAATACTTTGAAGAACACAAAGGCCATTTAAGTTGTTGAAACCTGTGCTAGGCACTGTATAGATGAGTAGAGGGAAACAGTATATATGTTAAAGGCTTTTTGTTCTGAAGCCCCCAACAAACAGGTGGGTGAGACAGGCACAGCAGATAAAAAAAGGTATGACTCAATTTTGAACTAATCAGAGCCAGTAATTACAGTTCACAACCTGTCTAGACATGATCAAGCAAAATATATCCAGCAAGCTGATTTGCATTGGCATTTTCTCACAGAGCATACAAATAAAGGTTTTGAACACACAGATGCTTTCTTCAGTAAAATTATCTGAAGAAATTTCCAGATTTGGTTTGGAAATATTTACCTGATCCTCTTTGAAGGCAAAATCTGTGAGGCAGCAATTGGTGCTGCTGTCAGCCCATAGTAACTTTACAGCTCAGTATCTGAATGTGATGCCACATTTCTTTACTGGAGGCATTGTGTGTACCCACTCAGGTAAACCGTGAAATAAGAGCTGAACCTCAGCTCTCCTGCTCTGCCCCACCTGCTTCTGCTTCACCCTCTCAGGAGACCAGAAAACTGGTCCAGAATGACAGGTACAGGCTGAAAGCATTTTGTGCTCTGCTGTCTCATTGACTTACAAAAGCACAAAACTATTACTTTATGGGTGTGATTATTTTATTGTCTGAGTGCAAGCTTAACCTTCAGTGTATATCTCTCAGTATAATATTTAGAGAAATTTAGATCTAGCCTCCAAGGGTCATATCCTGTAAAAACACAGTATTGTCAGTCTCACTAAGGTGACAATTTTTCCAAGGGGAAGGTAGCATAGCATATTGAAATTAAAGTAGGAAGTACTGATGTGCTAGCAAACATTTCAAACCCCTTCCTTGTAGAGCATTTTAATAGCATGGTAATGTTTATGTAAAGTGAGCTTATAGTGTCACACTTGAATCTAATAAAGTGGACATCCATCATGCTGTAATAAAGAGAAGAGCTTCTAATTAAAGTAGGACATCATTTTCAGGATTAAAGTCATTTAGCGTAATTGAAAAGTGTTAATACTCTATTTTATCCTCTTCCATTGGTATCACTTCAAGGGTAAAAACATTTTAAGGTGAAAATGCATCTTGTGTCTTTAATTGAATGTTATTACCTACTGATTGTACAATGTTGAAGCTGCTTAATTACAAACCTGGAAAATTAATTACCATATTGAGAACCAGATCCCTAAGGGTTAGAATAGTCTTTTTTGGCAAATAAATGCAACATAAAAATTGATACCTGCATGTTTTATAATCAAACCTTGAAACATGGCTCAATGTAGTTTTACAGCATTCTCATGTTAATCTTAATTGACCATCAGTGAAGTAACACAAGTTGGGGTTGCCATCTCAGTGTATAACTTGCCATATTTTGCAGTGAGAACCCACAGAGTGAGTGAGTTTCCACATAATGTAGCATCATAGCAATGCAGAGTGGATATTTTGCCAAATTACAGGACTTTTCACCTTTGCCTCCCAGCTATAAATTGTTGCCCGTCTCTACAATGCTGCTTCTGCTTTTAGGGAACCTGTTTGCAGCATCAAAGTAATGTTATACAGTCATGGTATCCCTTTCCAGTAGTTGTAGGGCATTTTTGGTTGTGAATCCATTTCTCCATCCTGTGTTTTTGAGCACAACCAGCTGGAAGGGAGGGGAGCTGTTCCCTCCTGAGTAATTTTTTGTGCCAGCCTGTGTATAAACAGCTGGTTCTTTGTGCTTGGTAGCCTTTTGCCCAGAGCCCAACAGCTGCTTGCCATTGACACGTGTGAGGGCAGGGCATGTGTAACCTTTAGACTCCGTGGATTCAATCCTTCCTTGAGATAAGTTCAGTGGTACTATATCAGGGATTGCTCTGGTCCCTCTGTTTGCAGCCCAGCATGCCACCATTGTGCCCAGATGAGCAACCCCACAGCTAATTAAAACCAGTGAAATTGTGAAAAGCATTTTAAAATGGTACTATAATTTAGGACAAGTTATAGTTCATAGTTGTCTGGTCTTTGAAGGGAGGAGTTAAGACACTGGTGAACTCCTCGTGATGAGTGGAGTATTCACTGGAACATGGTACCTTTCCAGGACAGAGAAGCTCATACTGAAGATATAACCAAGGATTGATTCCCCTTTCTAATGAAGTGACAAAGAGGGTTCTCAACTATTTTTCTCTTAAGAATTAGGAGCTTCATCCTTGCACTGTCTTTTGCATTCAGTTTGTTTTTACACTTTACATAATGAGTGATAACTAAAGTAAAGATCAGCGATGTCAAATTTCTCTTCCTTCTCATAATATTTACTGAAGTTTTCATAATACAGTAGATATAATACAGTTTTCATAATCCAGTAGGTATCTTGTGCAAGGCAGAAGTTATTCTGAAAGTTTCAAGGCAGTTCAGAAAACAGGGCAATTATTTGAGACCCACTTAATCCTATAACCTCAAATTGTTTCAGAATTTTAACACCTTATTTTCCTATTATCTGACCTGTTTACTGGGTGAATATTGAGTTTTGAGGGAAAATTTGCTGTTATAAATTTCTTAAACATCGCTATTGAAAGGCAGTAAAAGAAAAGCCTAGTGTGACGAGTAACCCAGTAGGTTAAATAGCTTAATACAATTATAAGGATACTTGGAATGTTGGATCTTATTTAAAGCATATCTCTTTCCTTTTACTGCCAAAAGCATAGAGATAAAGGCATGAGTTTCACTTAAAAATAGGATTTGTTTCTTATTTGAATTCTTACTTGTTTCTTAAGCAGTTTGCTGCTTACCAGCTCCAAATAATTATTGTAAACCATCAAGGTCTGCTTCAGAAGAAGCGTATCTGCAGAAAATTCTTTTAATACTCTACTCTGCACTTTTAGATTTTTTTTTTTTTCAGTCAATACAGACAAGCTGAAAAGTTAGTAGGGAGTCATTGTTAGAAAGCACAGCAGAGCTAGACAGAGCTGCAGTAATGACTGAAAGTTTATCACAGCTGGTAACAGTGTTTTGGGGTATTCCTGATGCAAACAACTCTATTTTTCATAGAGTCTCGTTGAGTTGACATAAAATCTAGATCCCATTTTACTGGAATTACTGTTGTTTAATTATTGTTTAAGCTGTTCTCCTTTCTATCCCATTGGGCAACTCTGCTGACCTTTCTCTTCACATGGCCTTCCTTTTCCTGTTCTTATTTATTCACAAGAGCAATGCCAGAGGGTATAACTTTTTCCTTGAAAACACAGCTCTTACCACTAAAACCTTTTCGGGTCTGTAGTATTGATTCATTCAGTCCTTCATCATATGCAATGACTACTAGAGCCATTCCAGTTATTATTATTGACGTCTCTCTTTTCTCCAATCCAGCCCAAAGGCAAAAACTAATCTCCCTGTTTTGTGCTAACTGATATCTTATCCTACATGATTTTTTTTTCCCTCTGATGATCTCCACATCAGATTAATACCCTTCCTATTTGCCATCCAGGCTCTATGCTGCACTTCTCCTTTGGTTTATCACAGTTTTAATTTCCTTTTACTTCTCCTTTAAACTCTCAGCTTCTCCTACTTTATGACATGCTTCTATCTTCCTCTCAGCCTTATGTACCATGCTCTTACTTTCTCATTTTCTCAGAATGTTTTCATAGCCAAACAATAGCGCTCTTCTCCCTCCAGTTTCCAGGATTCAATGCTTGCTGCTAGTTTTCTAGTGTTTGCTGTAGTGTGATGCCCTTCTTGTTTGATAGCTGAGTATATTACTACAATTGCATTCAGAATGAAGATGAATGTGTCACAAATATAAATCACTCAAGTGTGATTGTTGGAAAGTGTCTCCTCGCCTACATCCCAGTCAGAACACAGCACTGTGAGCTGTCAAAAGGCTGTTTCTAATTTAAACTGTGAGTTGCCCAAGGCAGGGAAAGCAGCTCTATGTGTTCATAAAGTCAGAACCACACTTACTTTTTGTCCTCGATTATTTATAGTACTTTTAAGGAAAAGTCATTGTCTCTGTAGCTGAAGGAAAAGTGGTGCTTTTGTGTTTGGAATTGATGTGAGATGAATTGTCTTTGCAGAACCTACTCTTCCCAAACCAGCCTCTGCAGCCCAACAGCAGATATTCTGTGTCACCAACCGGGGACCTCACCATTACCAACATCCAGAGGTCTGATGCAGGCTACTACATTTGTCAAGCACTGACGGTTGCTGGAAGCATTTTAGCAAAGGCTCAGCTGGAGGTTACTGATGGTGAGCTGATAGAAATTCCTATTGTTTCTTTCCTGTCAAAAGTACATTAAAATCAGTGTAAATAAAGGTGTATGAGATCAATAAATCATACAAGTTAATGGACAATTTTCTGTAGGAAATAAAGTGAGAAAAGGTCTCTGTATTTGTGTATGGAGTAAAAGAGGCATTAAAGTCTAATTTGCCTCTTAGTTGCTTTCTAGAGGCAAGAAATTGTTAACAATGGAAAAAAGGGACAAACCAGCTTAGAATAGGTTTGGTGAGAAATGAAGCTGCTTGGTTTGCTAGAGCTAAGATACGACTAAAAAAAAAAAAAAAAAAATTAATAGGTTTGTGATTAAGGCAGTGAACTGAGGTGCAAAAAAATGCATCTCTGTTCCTGCCAGTTCTATCTTAGACGAGTAGGGGATGTGTCCTTAGCTCAATTAAATCAACATCGTTTCTCTGAAGGTGGTGGAATACCATAGATTTGGACTGCCACAACATGTATCCCTTTAGTCCCTCCATGAATAAAGCCCCTACCTCAGAGCTGTGTTCTAAGAATGCCTCAGTAGGGGTAGGTGTGAAAAAAGTCATGAAAATCCATAGGCAGAGAAGAGTTTTCAGGAAAGGAAAAAAATTACATGGTCTGTCTTGATGCTTTCAATTTCAAATTTTTGGGTTTGATATTCATCCTGCCTTGAGGTTTCTCATCTACAGATATGAATCCTTTTCATATGTCAGGAATCCTGCTGATATCCCTCTTCATCTTATTGTGGATAGAAGGCAGTTTGCATCCTTGCATGTTAGCGAAGAAAACAAGAGAATCCCTGCTATACTCAGAGACAGTGGCATTCCCCAGCATCATTATTCCTTATCTTAACTGACACATTAAATATCTCCTGACAGACTTTGATGAATTTTTGCCATTAAAACTGTTGTTATATGCAGAGGTCTACTTTTACTGTTCCCTTAGAGACCTGCCTGCACCATGAAAGTTTGAAAAGATGTCTAATTTTGAATAATCTGCCTTTTCACAAGAGCATATTCATCACAAGTGACAGGTAGAGAGGTTCAGGCTCATATTATAGAGGTTTGAGCATTAATTTGATGCCTTTTCTTTGTTTTCCAAAAGCTGCCTATATTTTTATGACAAGGGGAAATAATTTCTGCCTTATCCTTGCATCTCTTCAAGCACGTTACTTTTCTGTAGTTTCTGGAGACTAAAGACTTGGCTTTGCTCTGCAATCTCTTTTAGTCTTTTCTCTCATGGTCTGTGACAAAATGATGCATTTTCATTCAATTCAAATTTAAATGTAGATTAAAAGGTCATTTAAAAGGAATGGAAAGGCAATATTTTTTAATATCTGTCCATAGTGCTGCCTGATTCAGGGCCATGACTGTGATTGGAATAAATAGAACACACAAACATTGGCTGGGAGGACATTGAGCTGTTAAATGGTCACACCTGCTGATGCTGCACAGATTTACAGCAACAGGCGCTGAGTGGATCAAATCAGGTTCAAGGATGCTAGGGATGAGAAATTCTTGCTTTTGACAGCCAAGGGCTTTGATCCACCTTTATCTATTTCTTATGTGGGGGGAAAAAAAATAAATCTTAATTGATCTCTTTGGAATTTTCATTAGTGTGTTTAGAAAGCCAAGGGAAAGCGTCCCTGCTGAAATGAAAGCTCATCTCCGGTTAATTCTGATTAAAGGCAGCATGCATTCCACATAGCTCGAGAGAGCATTGGCTGGTGGCTCTGCTGCTCGAGGAGTGCAGGGCCTGCCTTCTTCAAATGCTTTCCAGAACCCACTGTCAGCATGATCATTATGAAATAATACAAGATTGCTTTATAGAAATACCATTTCATCCCAGAGTCAAAGGGCAGATGAGGTCAGAAGAAAAGTGCCAAAACAACATTATGGAGCTGAGATTATGTGAATAAATGTACCATTAGATCACAGATATTTTTTTAATTGCTTTTAGTTAGGAAGTTAACCATAAATGTCTAAATAATCTGTTTTGGTTGATGCTGAGCAGAAGTTCTGAGAGCTAATGACTTTTATCAGCCGGGAAATCTAATTTAATAGTTTTAAGAATATAATAAAAGATAAACACTGTGTGTGCTAGCTATATGCTTTAGCATTAGTGTTCTAGTTTTTGGCTGGTGATTTCAGTTTTACTTCCTAGCCCAGAATTTTTCTGTTTGGTTAATGATTTAATAATAGTGGCGAGCCATCTTTTTCATTTTGAACACATTTTTGTTTGATCCAGAGTAATTTAGATCCAATTGAAGTTCCAATACAGAATGAAAACATGTCATGTGCAGAAAAACAAGTGCTTAATTATACCATATATAGCAGCGTTTCAGTTGTTACATTTTTGCACTTACAAGTCTTTACTGGAAATATTTTTAACTCAAGTGTTCACATGAGAAGAGATTACTAGCTGTGATGAAATGTGCTGAGCTGAGTGATAATTTTGCTGATTATGGACTGTGCTAAGAGCCTTGAGCATATTTGAAATTCAAATCTTGTATTTTCTTGAAAGGCTATCATGTAATTCACTGTCTAATGCACATCTGGAAAAGCAAAATCAATTTTGAAATTGAAGAATCTCAGCAATCCTTTCAAACCCAAGAAATGAATATGCAGCTCACAATCTTATGACAGATCATGCAAATAAACCAAGTGCTTCCATCTCTGTCTATGCTCTGCATAAAAGGAATAGTTTCCAATTAGTTTTGTGTTAGTATTTGTCAATCATGCACAGAATATTTTGGAGATCTTAATTTCTCCTCAATAAGTATTAAAATTTATTAATAAATGTTTCACAGTTTACTTGTCTACAAATCTGACCACAATGATTCTTAGCCCTCATCCAAACTATATGTTTTATAGCAAGTGTGACAGTTTCAAACAGGAGAAATTCAGAACAATTTCACAGCTTCCTGTGAAGCTCTTCTGCAAAAAAAATAAGACAGACAAGGGATTGGGCTCTGCTTTTCCATCTTTCAGACAGAACCCTGCCCTATCATAAGTGGTCATGACGTAGATTTCCTTACTTTTGTCTGATTTTACACATCATTTCACCACGAAATTTTTTTTTAAATTTTGACTTTGGAAATGCCGAACTAAAGACCTAATTTTGTTTTCCTCTTCATTTCCATTGTAATTTGACCACATATCCCCCAAATTTAAATATGGTTTCAATTGATCCAAACTGCATTTGTAGTGAATAAACTGTTAATGAACAGTTTATTATTATCTATAGGAAAATAGAATTTGTCCTTTTCCTATAATCTCTTCAAAAATTAAGATGCATTTTACCATGAAAGGAATCTGTTATTTTTTCAGTTACCAGAATATGCAGATGTATGGATATTGGCAAATAGTTTCAAAACCATTTTAAAAAATAAAGTAATTTTGAAATCAGCTTCTGTTTTACCATGCACATATGTTTGTGGGCACACAAAATGTTTTTGTGGAACAGATACAGAAGTTTGCACCTAGGAGAAAACTATGAGAAGAAACTAATTAATATGTTTTAAAAGCAACTAACAATCCCCACACAATTTTGTGGCTGTTTTTCATTAGTCCTCTGTTCTTCATAGTGCTTCTGACATATATATTATTTTAAACTCTAACCTAGTTTTGGTTCCTTACTAATGAGGACCTAAGTAGTAGGAATGTAACCACATACATGTTTTAGAGAAGATTTACAAGTCATAGTTGTGAAGACAATACAGCCGTTCACAGATCAGTGGAAACTCTAAGTGTTCATTTAACCTTTAGCCTTAGTGTCATGGAAACCTGTAGTGGTCTTTCACCCATAACACCCTTGAAAATGAAGATTCCTTCTGGCTAGGAGGCTTTCAATTACACTATTGATCAGAGCTATTTAAAGGATTATGAGCTCCTCATTTGGGCTGTAAAAAAAATCTAATTACATGCCAAAGAACAATATCTGTAATGCAGTAGGTTTTGAAAATACCTACATGGCTACATATATGAAAGACACTTAGATGATGCAAATAACTGCAGTGGAATAGCTAGCAACTTAAATAGTTATTCTTCATTATTTTTTAGCTACCTAGAATACTGAGATTTTCTGTTTTACATTAAATCTAAAGGATAACTTGCACAGCTAAGTTTTAATTTTATTGTACTCATCCTGCAGCTATTCTAATAACCCTCTGAGAGCTGAGATCCATTTTTATTTTGCCAAATGGCTGAACTATGTAGTTGTAAGGAACCTTAATGAGATTAAACATTTTGTATCAAGCTGTAAATGCCTTACATTTTTCTTGTTATATAGTGTTTCCTGTCCTATCTCTTAAGTTCAGTGGGTGATACTTCAGAATTTCCAAAATAGCTTTCACATTCTGGTGTTAAGAAATAATCTGCATTGGCTTTCTGTTTTCAGTTCAAAATATATATTGGCTTTCTATTTTCAGTTTCAATTTCAATGAATGTGATGAGGTCACACTCCAAGGTGTGATTCTGACAATATTAATGATTCTGATCTTTGTGAATCTTGTTAACAAAAAAGGTAGGTAGTATTTTTACAACATTAAAATGTCAGAAACAATTATTTTAGGCATAAAATGTGCCACTAACATATCCCTGATATGTTTTATTTAATAAATAACACAATGAAACCACTTTGGGACTCTTGAAGGTTCCAGAGGTTTGCATCTCAAACAGCTCAAATACAATAGAAGCCATATTGCTTCATAATAATATTTTCACTTCATTGTTAGAGTCAGCTGTTTTGTGTGGACTATAATAAACAGATTCTCAGCTGAATAAATGATTCAAACTCAATTGACATCAGCAGAGGCAGGCTAACTTGCACTGGTTTAGAAGTTAATCCTGCCTGCTACGATATTTAATACCTGTCACACAATTGTTCAGTTGTTCAAAATTTAAAACAGCAGCAGTATGGCTGGTAAATTTATAAAAATACACTAGAAGAAAAAAAAATTCTCAGTGCTATTATACTGACTTTTTGCGACAGTCCTAGCCTTGTGTATATTCAAGTATTTTGCATTCAGTTTGTATAAACACATTCTTTAGAAACAAAGGTCATATTTTGTTGCTTAACAGATGGCTCAGAGAAAAGGTTCAATAACAGAATTATTTGGGATAAAATGATCTTTCAAGAAAAATAAACATGAGCATTATACCTCATCTTCAAGATACCTCACTGGTCATGGAATGAGGCTTATATGCAGCCATGCACTCTCTCGTTGGTTGCGGGGTCTTTATTCAGAATTGCAAGCATGCAGATTATAAATTATCAGGGGAAAAAAAATGGGTGTTCATTGGGTGTTCATGGCTTTAAAAGATGAGGAAATTATTTGATAAGTAAGCTGTTAAATGATGTGATTGAGTTTGAGCTTTTCTCTGCTGGAAAGAGTGGTACATCATTTAGATCAACCATATTATGAAAATGTTTTGTATAACTGTTAAATATTTTTGCTGGTGAAAACTTGCAAATAGAGTAGGAATGGGGGATGTGGTTGGTACCCAGGCTAGAGTAGATATAGTGTTTCACTTTTAACTCAACAGATTTTCTCTTTTAGACCAAATTGGGTAAGCAATTAAACACATTTTGATGTGACATCAAAGGTGTGTTTTAAGTGCTTTCCCAAATTGGAAGAAAAGAGTCTTGCACTTCAATTCTTCGCTGAATCAAGGTCTTAATTTTCATCCTATGTTAACCAAATCAGCCTGATAATCTTTGCTAACAGATATTTTTCTATCTGCATGTTATCTTGCAGTGGTGAAATAAAACTCTTACAGAAATGATTTCAAATTTGCCAACTAATTGATGACCTCTATCTATGGCTCCTCCAAAATTAATGGTTTTAGCCTCTTTGAGGCTGACTTTAAGCATCTTATTAAAACTTGTCCCCTGTGGCGGAATAGGGCTCACAGCAGCAGCTGAGGATGGCAAAAGGTGTGGATGCCAATGCCTGTGCCACTGTTTTAGTCTTGACAGATCGACCTCCGCCCATCATCCTCCAGGGCCCCATCAACCAGACCCTGGCAGTGGATGGCACAGCTCTGCTCAAGTGCAAGGCCACCGGTGACCCCCTCCCTGTCATCAGCTGGCTCAAGGAAGGGTTCACCTTCCTGGGCCGGGACCCTCGCACGTCCATACAGGACCAGGGGACGCTCCAGATCAAAGCTCTGCGGGTGAGTAACAGCAGCACCACGAGCGTGATGGGTTCTACATGTCCAGTTTGGAGCTCTTGGTGTGTGCCTCAGGCAGCTTTGCTTCCTTCTTCTTGTCTCCAAAATTAACTTGTCTTTTCTACTGTGAAGTTCTCACCAAGTCATTATCCATTCTTTGATGTGTAGGAAAGGGAAGGGGAAAGAAGAGAAAAACTAACTTCAGGTATTTCTATGAGAATTCCCTAAAAACAGAATCAGTGTTTATAATCTTGTGCCTGTTGCAACAGAACACATGAGTTGGGGGTAGACAGAAATGTAAAAGAACTCTCCTTCCTTTTCATTGGTCTTACACTGAAGCCATTAGCCTCTCTGTCAAAACTTAGAGCAGTTCCTTGGCAACACCTGACCATAATTTTCCAAGTCCTTGTGCTACCACGTGATCTGGAGCTCGTAAGGGTTTGACCATGCACTTTCTCTATCAACAACTCGTCAGTCCCAAGCTGGCTGATTTATTCCAGTGTTATGCTTCCTGGAAATGTTCCACCAGGCTGCAAATAGGAAAAGAAAACTAATACTGTAGAATACATGCAGTCATATGCAGAGGGATTTCCATTAAAAATTAAATACCTATTGTAATATCTACATTTTTACACATGAGATAATACAATATTCTCTAATACTTCAAATAGGATAATGTCATATGTTTTTGATAAATATTGCATCACTAATCTCTATTTCGACTTAATTTTTCCCTGTTTAAAGAAAGGTATTTCTGTGTATTTGGACAAGCATGCATATGGAAAACAGTAAGTTAAATGTACTTACTTGTCAAGAACTTGAAGATAATTTCAGAAACCATTTAATTTAGTCAGCAGAAATGTCTGCTCTTAGTTTTCCCATCCAAAAAAATGTTAATAAACATAGTACTAATAACAAGAAATAGCAGGGTTTTTTTCTGATACTGTCTCATCAGTGGTCATAGATGAATTGTGAACTGCCTTAGAACAAAATAGAATTTATTAAAAAATTTATGCTAGCTTGCCTTGAGTAAACAATTTGTCGTTTCTCCCTGGGCTGAAGGCAGGTTTAGGCCATGAAGGTTAATGCATTTTTCCTGTAGAGCTGGATTAAAGAGTGCGCTTGAATAGTCAGGATTCCCCAGTAGTGTCAGAAAACAGCAATTAATGGTGGAAGCTTAGTGATTTCAAACAAACTTTCAGGCACTGATGATGGGCTTCTGTGGAGTGTCCATGAGGCAGAAGCTCTTGGGATACCTGTCTGCATGCTGCTATGCAAACAATGAAATTGGCTCTGAATCGTGCCAGCGCATTAATCTCACTGTTAGAGGCTGTGTCTGTAAACTTAAGGAAAATAAAATTACTTACAAGAGGAGAAGAAAACAATATTAGTAGTGAGTGTGATTCTGAAAGACACGAGGCTTTTATTAATCATTAAGTGGCTCATTCACTAGTAACCAATTTTTCTTAAAGGCTTAGAAAGTAATTTTTTAGAAACTCCTCTATAGCAGTAATGTGCACTGTTTGTTTGACTCAGTTTTAAGAACAAAAACTACACAGAACTATAAACATAATTTTTCTCCTGTGCCTTGCATATTTTAATTAAACATGGATTTAAATGAGGAATGCTTAACTTTTCTCTCAGGTCTACCTAAACAAGGACAAGCACCACTTCCTAAAGAAAAAAAGGGCCACAAAAATGTCCAAGTATGTTTACATCCCCATGTTCAAAATAAATTAATAATTGCCACCGACATGTCCTCAGCCTTCTGGCTGAGGGTAGATTTATATTAGGTATCAGGAAGAAATATTCCCTGTGAGGGTGGTGAGGCACTGGAACAGGTTTCCCAGAGAATTTGTGGATTCCCCATCCTTGTTCAAGGCCAGGTTGGATGGAACTTTGAGGAACCAGGGCGGGGCGCGGGGGGGGGGGGGGGGATGAGAGGATCCTTAAGGTCCCTTCCAACATAAACCATTCTCTGATCCTTTTCTGCTATTTCTGTTACAGCACAGTCAAATGATTCATGAGCCTGCAACAGTCACATGTGCCACAGTTGTAACATGAACATAGAGATTTTTCTGATCAGCCAATCTCTCAGTTTCCCTGAGGAAGATGAATAAAAACTCACATAAGTCATTCATTCAATACCCCTTCAGACAGGTCAGCACGGATGGAAAACTCCCTTCTGCTGTAGAAATGTGCCACACCAGGATTAGACACCTGCATTAACTAAGGAACAAAAGTTTATTTTATTGAATAGTAAAGATTTTTCTATTCACCTCCCCTGTTTTTTTTTTTCCCATAGCACAAAAAAAGTATAAACAACAAAGTACCAACACACTAAATCTGGTTCTAATCCATCCACAACCTGGAAATTAGATAATTTGCTAAAGCTTACAAGAAGCAGTGTACTTCCAGCTTGCTTTGTATGTTGTTTGCCTTCTTCAAGTTGCTCTGTTGTGTACACCACATACCTCATTGAGTGCACCATCTGTCACAGTAATACACAAATGCAGTTAAGAACCATAGCCTTGAGAAATATTCCCCATTATCACATAATGAAGAATTATATATTTAATAAAATCTCAGAGGAAGCAAAATAAAACTCTGCTTCAAAATGGTATAAGGCTCTCTCCTCTGGAAAATCTCTCTTTTCAAGAGTTTTTCTCATTTCAGTAGCAGCACTGTTGTATTTTGAGTCTTTGAGCCATTGTCAGAGGGGTTTTCATTATTGCTTGTATTTCACACACATAACCATCTCCTGAAATGCATGTTCATTCAGAAAATTGAGCTGGCATTAATGAGTTGCTTCCTCACCTAAGAATGGTACACTGCATTCTCAGTGTATCTGAAGAAAAATAGCAACAAAATTCATGCATGACAAAGCTGAAAATTAATTAAATTATATATCTACAAGTAATCTAAAGAACATCTTGCTTTTTTGCCTTGACATTCATTTTGAAGAGTGACATATAAGGATATATGCTACAGTGCCAATCTGCATTTAACAGAAAACTCATTACAATTCTTTAAAGCCCAATAAAGCTCCTTGGATGCAGTTCTATTTCTATGAAGTCATGTGATGGTGAATAAAATTCTTAATCGCTAGAGTCAGCACTCACCCTTTTCTGCTTCCATCACCAGATAACCATGCTTTATGCATTATGGAATGAGAACTCCTCCATATATTTTGTGCTTTGTAAATTTACCATTTTCCATCCGTCCCTGTAGTCTTCACTTGTTCCTGACTCAGAAATCTTTATTTTAAATTTAAACAGGAAATAGGAAAACCCCTGGCAAATTTGCTAGTAAAACAGTTTATACGGTGATGAGATTAATATTGACAACCTAATTCAAAACAGTTTCCCCAAATAAATTTAAAATATTTGAATTGACAAGGGAATCACAATAATTTTATACAAAAGCAATATTTTTTTGCTACCAAAGGGCCTTGCAAGCCTAAAAAAATATCTCATGTGAGATAGAAGAAAGGTAAGCATGGTGTAGGATCTAATTTAATGCTGCTGTTTGGAAATTGCTTGGAGGACTGTCTGTGTCAAGAGAGCCACTGTTAAGAGAGAACTGTTAAGTTTTAGCAGCATTTTTATGTAGGGTGTATAGAAATTACTTCATCTGTCATAAGAGTCTAAGGTGATGTAACATCCTTCCTGGCACTGGAAACTGGACCTGTGGGTCATCCTGGGATAATAAATGCTGAGCTTTTACCCTCTAAGAGGTTAATCATTGTTATATTGTATATAAATGTTACCTGATTTCACCTGCATTTTTTGTAACGAATGCAAACGCCGACACTGTCAGTGCTCCATTGTGGAGCATTTACAGTACTGGTACCATTAACAATATGAAAATTAGAATTAGTAAAGTATTAGAAGCAAGTAATCTTATTATAGTTCTCTAAATGAAAGCCACCATTAAATGATTGCTTGAAAATGTCTGGTGCCTTCTAGTCTGGTGTAAAATGTAGGCTAAGTCCTTCTTATCAAGGAGCATTTAGAAAAAGAAAAGAAGAGTAAACTCAGCTGATTCTAAAAGGTTGTTAAAGCTGCCCTCATGCCCTTTTCATGTCCAGCTCTCTGATACTGGGACTTACACTTGCGTTGCTACAAGTTCCAGTGGGGAGACGTCCTGGAGTGCTGTGCTGGAGGTGACAGGTAAGCAATGCCCAGGGATGTGCTACACGTGGCACAGAGGAAAATAAACCATATGACAGCAGTCTGAGCCACAACTTCTGGGCTTTACATGGAGAAGTTTTGGGTGAGAAGGCTGTGTTCCTTCATGCATCTTGCATTTCACCGCTGTTGTCTTATAATGCCTGTTGACATCGCAACAATTTTCATATTTGTGTCCAGTGACTGCAGTATGCTTTAATTCTTCTATCAGGGGTATTAATTAAATGAGGATTTATCCAGTAGTTGGCTTGGGCAAGAAAAATACAAAGTGCTCTCTGTGAGTACTGCAGTTGATTTGAATACAGGAAATTTCTCAAAGTTTTTGGTACTTCATGTACATTTCAGCAAGCTGTTTTCTTTTTTTATTCTTTCTTTTATTTCTTTTTTTTTTATATATATTTTTATATTTATCTTTTGATTTTTGCCTTTTTTTTCCTTTATTGTGTACCTAGAGAATGATAGCCCTTCATCCAAAAACATGTGGTAGTAATGCAATTGTTGACTTAGTTCTTTATAGATTAAGAACATCCGTTCTTCTGATTTTGCAGATGTTTGCCATGTTTTTCATTTTAATCTTCTGCTTTGATCAAATTATATAACCAAGGATAAAAAGTAATCGTTTTGTATTTGTCCTTCACAGAATCCGGTGGAGCAACAGTCAGTAAAAATTATGATATAAATGACCTCCCTGGGCCACCATCCAAACCTCAGGTCACGGATGTTACTAAGAACAGTGTCACCCTGTCCTGGCAGCCAGGGACCCCTGGAAGCCTACCAGCTAGTGCATATATCATTGAGGCTTTTAGGTATGTGAATTATACCACCTTTAAGCTCCTTTCTTTCTAATTTTGCTTAAACCCTAGTACCAGGGTTTTGTGGTGTTCTTTTGGACTCTATACATGTCATTAGAAGCTCATTAAATGACTCAGCTCCATAGAAGGCATTGATTAATATTCTTCACATTGATTTTTTTTCTAATTTATCACTTTTTTCTAAGTGATTAATTGGAGGACATCTATTTCTTCAGGTCAACAGGAATATAACAGAACAATGCAGTAATTGTCACTTTTCCTTTAACATTGATGATCAGTGAGAGTCTCCTGTGGGAATGCTGCAGGTTCTTGGCTATCATAGTACAGACAATATGGGAATAAATGGGTAATCCTGAAGGCTCTCTGCAAACTTTAATTCCTGCTCTTGTTAAAGAAGTCAGTATTAAGGGGTCAAAGTGCTTTAAATGTCTATTTTTTTAGTGTTTTAGATAAATGAAAACTTCTAACTGAAAAGACCAGTATTGATAATTTAGGATTTTATCCTGCAGCCTGAGGCTTTAAAGAATTCAGGTGCTCCCCTCCACACAGCAGCAATTACTGTGTGGTGCAAAAGAACTCCCGGGCTCCAATTCAGCACGTTTGTTTGAGAATGGGCTGTACTCTGACATGTATCTCTAGAGCACATTTTGGCTTAAAATTCTATACCTTTATATATGTGTTCCTTAATCCAGATATTATAAAAAGGACAAGTTTTTCTTTTAAGTTAAAATTCATGCAAGAATTTTCATAATCATATGCATGCAAATTTAAACTCATATGTTATGTATGTAAAGAACATTACAGTATTTGCAGTATGTTGGTTTTGTTCTAGAAGTTGTTCTTTATGCATTGTATGAATGAAGTGCTTCAAGCAACATAAACCTTGTAGTTTTCCATTTCCTTTTTCCTTTTAATATATTTAAAGATTTTTTTATCAACGCTATACAACAAAGCATAGTAAAATAAAACTTTCTCTTTAAACTTTTCTTATGTTTCACCCTAGATAAGCTTTAATGGCATCCCATCAATAATTTCTAAAAAAGGCAGGCATTTTCATTAAAAGTTGTTTTAACAATCACATTTGAAATCTTTTCATATAGTGGATTGTAATCTCATTATAATAATGTTGAATTGAAACGGTGGTGGTAGGAAAATATTCATATAATTTTCATCCATTTCAAAGAATGTTTTCAAAGTTTTTTTAACTTTGAGAGTGAATTTAGTTCAAGAACATTTTTCTTCCAATGACAGTTTATTGACACAGTTTACTTAGCAGTATAGAAAATTATTCTTTCAAGAGAACTTTCCTTTCTAAGCCTTTTGTTCAAGAGTAGCCTGTTTATCATTCAAATTTACTCTACAGCTTTCTACCTTTTTCCTTTTGCAGCTATTTTAGAGAAATAGCAAAAAGTTTTATTTTTATTGCAAAGAGAAATACTTTTGACAGCTGCATTATGATTTTTAGCTGGTCTCGATGAGCTAACTGAAAAAAATATTTTTCATTTCACACTGCTTTTACCACCTTTTACTGCTCTTAGAGTCAATCTGGGGTTACAAGACAAGTCCTTTCACATCTTTATTTTTCTCTTATATTAATTTATAATCTTCCACGTGTTCTTGTTGCAGTCAGTCTGTGAGCAACAGCTGGCAAACGGTGGCCAACCACGTGAAGAGCACCCTGTACACTGTGAGAGGCCTGCGCCCCAACACCATCTACCTGTTCATGGTCAGAGCCATCAACCCACAGGGCCTGAGCGACCCCAGCCCCATGTCAGACCCTGTCCGAACCCAAGGTAAGGTGCAGTTTCAAGGCTCATGTGCTTGAGCTGAAATAGAAAGAAGGAACTGTGGCTCCACCGATGGGTCAGTCTGGCCGTTTGGCTTTAGCACACTCACCGAAGGAATTGTGATTTGAGCTTCACCAATAAAGATGAGAGTAGTCCAGTGTTTGCTGCATTAAAGTTGCATCCTTAATCCTTTGTACAGTGTAGACCTTTTGGTTTGCAATTTACTTAGACTCGACTTGTCCCTGTTTACTATTGAAAGCAATGTGACCCACCCAAGCTTTTCTGAAAAGCACTCTAAATACTCTCCTCTCCTCAGTATCTTTCCTCTCCATGTCCTTTCTTCCTCTCCATTAGTAGGGATATACTGTGATTGTTGCCCTGATTCTTAAGATTTTCTAAAGGCTTCTGAGTTTACATTTTGTTAGAAAACTTTCTCACACAATTTTCTATAAACAACATATTGTTTTGCATTCCTTCATAGGGGTGGAGAAACTTGATGTATTAGTAGTTTGTCCAATGTCTTTGGAGGGGTGGCCCATTCACTCTCCAATCCACTGTCACCTTTGGAAAAGTATAAAAGCTGGAGTCAGAAAATAAAGCCTCCTTCTTTTCTTTGCAAACAGTGGTGGTTTGCGTTGTGCTTTCATGTGTCCCATAGCGACACTATGATAACAAGTGTTTATAACAGGCAAGACACTATGTTTAGAATTATGTTTAACCAAAAGAAATGCACAACACATGTTCATTAATCTGAACCAACATTTAGGCAGAGAATTCATGTAAATTAAGGCATCTGCATGATAAGAATATATAGAAGTTATTCGGAGAAAGGCATGGACCTTCTATTTGCATACCTATATTTCTGAATTCTTTGTATCAGTCCGTTGCACAAACCAAGAGAGAAGGCTGAAGTGAAATAGCTCATTTGTAGGGTGCTGATAGGATTGGTACCTGTGATCCTCCATTGCTACTGAATCAGCTACTGAAGTCTGTTCACTTTGCATCAAACTCCAACTGAATATAACTGCGACAAACAGATTTCCCTTCACAGCATGGATTTTTTTGTTGTTTTGACAAGATACTGCTTGAATGCTTAATTCAGGAGTGTATTTCTATGTTAAACATGTCCTAATACAAAAATTCATAATTCTTTGGAATCATAATTTTTCGAATCCAAAGTAATAGTCACATTTAATTTAAAATTAAATCTTCTGTCTCTGTTTATTTTTATTCAGAGACTTCTGTCTCTGAAGATCTGAAGGTGCCCATGGAGGGCACATCCTGAGGCAATCTCCAGCACATGTGTTGTAAGTTGTTTGGGTCCTTTGCTGGATGGAAAGAGATAAACAAGAGTAGAGTGGCATTTCTTTATCACATAACCATCCAGCCTCCCTTATCCCAGCCTAGCCCTGAATAAATCTGTCCTGAATAGTTACACCCTCAAAATAGTAATTATGGCTGGAAGAGGAAAAACAGAGCTGCCTTCTCAAAAGCTGGAGAAGTGAGTTGTGCAGGGATTTCATGGCCCGATTAGCCATGGAATATCACAAGTTTCCATCTTTCTTATTTTCCCATTATTATAGGGTGAGTCATGCTTTTCTTGCAACAGACTTTTAGTCTGCATAACTTATCACCTAGCTAAAAAAAAATACAACAACTTTGTTTGGCATTTGAGTGTCAAGTATAGACTTTTTATCTGACATACTGACAAGCAATTTGATTTCAGTAAAAACATGTCTTTTAATTAGCTACGGCATGTGTTGCAGCTTCCATTTCCAGAAGCTGTTTAGCAGTCAAGCACACTGAGACATGTACAGGATTTATAGCTTCTTTGCAAGCCTGCAGTTTAATAGAATTAAATCATAAAATCAATTGAAAATTAACATAATGTTTTGATGTGATTTCTAATTGTGCCTGAATTCAATTCAGGCTCACAGTGGAAGCTGACACACAGTGGAAAGCCTATTCACAGTGGCCAAGAAGAAATAACAAAGCAGCTATAGCAGTGCTATAAAATAATAACTTGCAACAGGTAGCTTTCATAGCTGAACATTTAATGTCCTGGTATTCAGTACAGCAAATACAAGTAATAAGATTTAATGTAAATTTTCACCAATGAACTGCAAGAAGATAATAAGGTACTTTGAAAAGGTTTATCTTATATGACTTATATGAAATAAAGATAGAGAGTCCTTATTTCTAATGGAGTTGATTTCTTGTTGGATTATTAATAGGTGAAACCATATACTAAAAAAACTCTTCCAAAAAATTATATATATTCCTGTCCATGAAATTTAAATGATAATAAATAATAGTATATTAACTGATAGCTGAAAAAAGAGGTGTTAGAGAAAATATCTAACCGATTCCATTGTGATCAGGATGTAGCTTCTTGCACCAGTTTTGCTTAACTCATGATTCTATTATTCCAACACTTAATCATACCCTTAGAAATAGGTCAGCTGCCTTTCTACCAGGAGCCTCCGCAACATGTGAAAATGACATTACACTGGGAGCATCACACGTGTTTTCAAGTGTACATACCAGAAAACTGAATTCCACATGTGCATCTTGGCATTCACTTCCTACTGTTATCAGTCCATGTTATTCTCTTACTTCTGGACATATGTGCCATGAAAATGATGAAATGCTGTTCATAAAATCTACTTTGTGGAAATGTGTTTTCCTCTGAGGGAATACACAGGTTCTTTGTTGGCTGTACACCACAGCATAATTTAACCTAAAATGTAGCCATGGATAACTATAGGTTTATTGTAGCAACAATCATAGCCTTTTGTGGATAGAAGCATAAATTATCATCCTTTAGACCAGTCTGAGTTGAAGTTTTATTTTATAATATCTCTGTTTCTTGGCTGCTTCAAATAAACATAATTTGCTAGACAACCACCTTCACTGACACTCATATTTGGATTATATTCCCTTTGGAGATCCATGGAGCCATTTTAATTTGGATATCAATAGAAGCCTGTGGCAATATTGTTTATTGGTGGCTCAGAATCCATAACAATCCAGAATTAGGAATGTGAATTATTGATCATCAAAAACTACTTACTTTCAAGATCTGGGGATATATGATTAAAGTTGTTATATTTAAAGGTTTCATTTTTAAGACAATTATTATTTCTTTTAAATAGCATTTAGAAAATAAAAAGAAATAATACGAAGCCTGATCCTATATATAAATCTATCAGAAAAGAAAAAAACTCTTACCTATGTATCTTTTTCACAAGGACATGATGTTGATCCAAAAAAATGAGAAACTGCTTTTGACTATTGAATCCTAAGGGAAGACCAAGCAGAATTCAGAGATGCCTAGACAGGCATGACCATAATTTGTCAGTCCTTTTTTGAATATCTCTATAATCAGATTTTGAATAGAAGAAACAATTCCCCCACACACTTTGAAGGGCACATCATCTTGAAAAGGAAATTTTTGTGGTAGATTGTTTTTGTTGGCCTTTTACTAGATAAGGATCAGTTTGGCTTCCTAAATTAAATCTTTTCTTTTTTTTCATGTTTGCACTAGATTTTGTTAGCTATGTCTCTTAAGGGAAAATTTGCTTTGCAGGAGAAAATGCTATTTTTAGTATTTGGTTTCTTGTGTGCATGGCATGAGGGGAGAGGGAGTTTAGTGAAAGTTTGGAAACATATAATGACTTAATGTCATGTATGCTCTGGCAAAATAAAAAAACACTGTTCATTTTCTTCAATTATACCAACCAATTTGGTTCCAGACATATGTGCAGCATTATTATTATCTGAGTACTTTGGAACTACTGAACATCGCATCTCTCTCATCATTAACCCAAGCTGAGAAAACTTTGCCATCTAGTCAGAATACTCCCTTAATCTTATTTATAGTTCATTATTTCTTAAGTGGCTAGAGGTGGATGGTTTGTTTGCATTACTTGATATTTGTCTGGGTTTCAACCTTAGTGCTGTATTTTTTTAAAAACAGTGCTATAGAGGATTTTCAAGTCATGTCATCAGGCTACTCAGTAGATTTTATTGAAGCCATATATAGCTCTTCTCATTAAAGTGATGATTTCATATGTGTGCCTGGCAGATATCAGCCCCCCAGCACAAGGCGTGGATCACAGGCAAGTCCAGAAAGAGCTGGGAGACGTCATTGTACGGCTGCACAATCCTGTTGTGCTGACACCCACAACAGTGCAAGTCACCTGGACGGTAAAGCTTCTGCTGTTGTTACCTTAACAGTCATTTCAGTCTGTCTATTTTGCCTATTTATCCCTTCAGTGTTTTACCACCCAGAAATGATCCAGTCTTGATCCCAGTGTGAGATATGTGTGTGTATATGGCAATGAAATAATAATTTTCTCTTTCAAGTCAGGCGGGTTCAATGTCTTCAGTCTTCTGCTTGAAGCAAGGTAGCTGTCTGACTAGAAAAACATTATAAAAATGAGAATGCTTGAAGGATAACTTATCTGTGGATTCATTACGCTGCATGTCAAGAAATAATCCAAGTTAAATATCAACAAGAAACTGCTGTGTGAAAAAATACTTTCTGCTTCAAGTCATAGTGACTTCTGACAATGGCCTATTATTTAGTGACCCGAAAATCAAAAATAGCTTTCCTACAGAGCACTTGTAGTGAAGTCAGAAGCACGTGGTGCTAGTGGCTGACACACTGTCTGTCATCTGGTTTGCCAGCACAAGCCTTACCCACAATCAGTGGATATCCTTTCATTAGAGAAGACCAAAGTCTTTTGGGCAGTGCTTAACAACATTTCTATTTGAGGGGTCAAACTGCTGGGTAGGATTTCTAATATAGTGTTTGGCTTTCAAATTGTTCTGTTTCCCTTCCTGAAGCTTGATGGAAAGAACTTGTAAGAGTAGGAGAGAATTCCCAGGGCATTGGACACAAGGAGAGAGATTTGCTGTTGGGGCATCTGCCCAGAGGAAGAAGAGCCATGAGTGGAAGAGTGAGAGAAAAACTGCCCTGCACAATATCAGAACAGTTGTATTCTGTGGGATGAATTCTGCTAAGGGGGCATTCACAATGCTCATGTCTTTTCTTCTGCATGTCATATTGCTGAGGGCTTAATGTGTGCAGGGGATTACACAAGAGGAGATAAGAAGTGTGGTGATAGATTGTGTATTATAAGTATTACTGTTGTTTTTGCACAGCACAGCCATTATTATGGGGGCTTATGCACCATACTTGTTCTGACAGATTTCAGTGGTCAGGGTACAGATTAGAATAAATAGAGAAACCAACAATTTTTTCTTCTATGGAAGATTATTTAGAGTATGTGTCACTGCATTTTGCCATCAATGATGTCAACACGCAGCTTGGCTTTCTTAAAATGCTGCATGTTTCATCTGCAATTCCTCCAGAACAGGCTGACTAACCCTTGTGGCAAACCCTTTTGCCCCAAGCAGATGGATCAGTAGCAGAAAATTTGGATGTTAGCAGAGAGTAATTGTAAACCTGGATCACATCCATGTGGTGCTCCTTCATATCCTTTTTTGGGTGTGGCATCTATCAGAAATACAGATTCATAGGCTGGCCCTTGCCTTAGCATATACTGCAAAAAGAAGCTCCAATATAAACAGAATTCAGTTTTATACCTTGTAACCAACGTCATTATATTTTAATTATATATATATATATATATATATATATATATGTATATATATATATGTATATGTATATGTTTATGTGTGTGTATGGATATATATATGTATGTATGCATGTTTATGTGTATGCATTTGTGTGTGTGTATGTATGTGTGTGATATTTATTCCTTTAAATGAATTTCCTGGGGCCCCTGCTGAACAATGAGTGAAGAAATGGTAAGGTAAAGACAAATTGTTGGAAATGCTATGGATACCAGCTTACTGGGAAGATCCCTCAAAGCAGTGACCCTGTGCCACCTGACAAGCACAGAGACCTCTGTAGAGGCATTTTGGAATTGCCCAGGGGAAGAAAGACACAAAGAAAGATCTCTGAAGCAGCTAATTAGAAACTACCCAGCAACCAGAACAAAAACAATTAATTAACCATAGTCTCTAGGAAAAAAACCCTCTCTATCCAGAGAATAAAGTCCACACTATTAATATAAAATGGATAGATAGTGTAGCTATCATAAAAAAGGACAGAAGTGCCATGAGAGTCATAAGACTCTTTGTGTTGGCTTTATGCAGTTCAAAGGGTGAATGCCAAGGAATGTCCTTGGTTACTGAATTTCTGGCAGTAACTCACAGCAAATTAACACCACTTTCTCCTCTCCTTTCTGAGATTGTTTTGGTTTTGTTTTCTCTTTATTTTTTTTTTTTAATTTGAGTTTAAATGTTTGGAAATAGTTCCCTGTGGCTGTGTTGCAATTTTAAAATATGCACATACATATACACACATATTTTGAAAAGAACATCAGGCTTATGTCAGTGTTAAAAAATGAGAGGAATGTAAAAAGTTAAGTTTTCATTGCCACTTAAATTTATTCCTCTTGTGTATAGATATTAAAATATAGCTGTAATTATCTGGTCACATAGAGGATCTCTTCTTCATGGAGCTATTAAACATTTCTTTTTATCTTCTTTATTCTCTGTGTGGTGCCAGGTCTTATTAAATTCATACCATTGAAACCTTGCATTGAATAAAAATTATTATTTTGTCTCACATGCTTGCTTATCTGTCATGCTCTCAACCGTAACATTTGTGTGCTTCACAAATAATACTGAATTTAACATCACAATGATAAAAATGTGTCATTATCCTAACTTTACACACAGAGAGGTGAGGTTCAGAGATAGTTATTGCTGATGAGACTTGTGGTGGCAGATATACCCATTGTTACCAAAAGGCTAATTTTAAGCCTTGAACATGATTTATTTTTACTTTTATTAAAACATTTTACATTGCAAGAGCATATTTTGTACTTCAAGAGCTTTTTTAGCTGATCTCAGCTATGGGTCAGCACTTCTAGCCTCAGTGGGCATTAAACTGAAAGTTTCATTAGTGACCAAGTATGAAATGTTCCCCCAGCATTATAAAGAAGCCCTGTGGCACAAGCAGGAATAAAAAAATCAGTTCTTCAACATGGCAAAAGAATTGCTGCTTTGAAATCCTTTCTGCCTTTTTGGAGGCTTCCCAGGCAGAAGGATAATTTATTTACCTCTGTTTTTTTAATTTGATGTAGATTTTAAATGAATATACTTCACTGGAAGCTTCAGGAGTCAAGTCCTTTAGGCAGTCTTCCAGATTATCATCCCCATTCGCCTTGTTCCTGTAGGATACATAAATGCTAGTGCAGTTTGGATTTCCAGAGACTCCTGTGAGTCCGTGCCAGGGAGCTCAGCACTGCATGCAATCTACTCTGCCCAGCTGGAGAATTGCTGTGTGTATTGCTGTGGGAGCAGAGGATTTCTTAGGATATTTTGGGATAGAAATTTGCATGCTACAGAGCATATTGCAAAATGTATTTAGCGTGCAGATTAGCGGGTTTGCTTGAAAGGATCTTATGTCTGCAGCATAAGCTGCATTATGAATTTTTTGCCATTGTTTTAACAACCTAATAGCCGTTGAACCAGTCTGGTGTTCAGCTGGGGCATGTGCAGGGAAAATGAGCTTTCTGTTCTGTAGAAATGGTTTTGTAGTTGCCTCCTGCACCATGGACTCATAAAAGGGGGTGAAAAGGAGCACACATGACCAATTCTGCAAGTAGATCACGTTTGGTCAGTGCTGAGCACCACCTACCCAGGATCTTTAGAGGAGCATCTGCATGTTCTTGCCGTGTCTTTATATCGGCAACCATTGCAGATCTCTTGAGCTGATATCACCCAGTAGAAATATTCTCTGATCTCAGTATTCAGCACAGAGAATTCCTGCAATTGCTGAAATAACGCTGAGCAATTTTTGTAAGGAAGTGGCAACCATTTACATCCTTTATCTTTTCATCAATCCAGAGTGCATGTTTCTGCAGCTCTGCTTATGTGTGAATGTGTGCCAAACTTGGGAGTTACATAGCTGAATTAATGTCTTTAATCATATAAGGATATTTTTAGTAGTCTGCTAGTGGCAGGACACATCATTACCGGAGAAATGGAGCAAATTGTGAAATCACAGTCACTTTGTATTATATATGACTGTGTAACTGCAGACAGATGTACACATATGTGTGCACATGTGTGTGCATGTATATGTGAAATGTACCTGTCCTACCTCTCACAAATACTTCTGGTTAATCAATGTAATTATCCGAAAGTAACTTTTTATTAATTTGGAAACCCTGAACAAAATTTAAAAGTCCACCTTTCTCAGTAAGTAACGTGCCCTCTGAGTAGTTTCCCAACATCACCTTACAGAAGGCCCTGTCCATACAGACTACCTTCAATTGGACATGAGAGATAGCTTTGTATCCTCTCCTTGATACCGAATGTGACTGGATGCTTATAGAAAACATTAAAAATGTGTAATATTTTCTTTTGTCTGTACCCTCCAAGACTCTGAATGATGAGTAATCATCATTGCCCTGCCCTGTTGTAATCAAGCTACTAATTGAAAGCCCTGTGAAACTCAAGCGAGCCCCAGATCAAGCTAGTTTACAGCACCCATAAATGTGACAGCCTTGTGGTACTACTGCATTCTGCTGTCATATTCCTTCTATTGTTTAGTCTTTCAATTTAAGATCTTAGAGGTCTGGGAGGAAAAGATGTCTATGGACAATTTGTCTGGAAGCGGATGCAAAAGTATGAGGGACTGAAAATTGGTATTTTTAGATATTACCTAGAGGTCCAGCTCTTTCAGTGAGTTGGGGGTGGGTTTGTGTTTGTGCCATGCTGTACAAAACCCTTTCCATACTGGTTGTCGTAACAAAATGCTACTGTTCAGTGAAGTCAATTCTGAATTTTCAGTTTTCTCCACTAGGCAGCAGTCAGTAGAGCTTAAAAATAGAGCAAAGACAAAACGGAAAGTTCTAACAAAGTTATACCGTCTTTCAGTGTAGCTTCTAACTAAGATGTAAAGCAGGAATCAAACTCAGTGTTTGACTATTAAACATCATAACCTTATATTGTAATCTAGGTCCAAAATCTCTGTTGCAAAGTGGAAAAAAACATTATTTTGGCTGAATTTTGTATTAAATGTGAGGTTCATAAAGTCTTTATATCCATAAAATATTTAGTTAATCAAAGTCAAACATGGATAAAAACAGTTTACTCTGATTTACAGACTCCCTTCATCTGGAAACAGCTGCTTAATGTTCTTCTTAAAAACACAGCTTGATTCTTTCGGTATTAACAAGCTATTATTGTGAGTTATATCCCTCTTTCAGTGCATAAATTCACTTAAAGTGAATGCAGAGAAGTTTATAAAATGCAAGCTTAATGTTGTTGTAACATATGTTGCAAGGTTTTTAACAGTGACAGTTTTGATGAAAGACATTTCTGTCTTGCTTTCATAAATAAAGCTTTCTTCTTGCTTGCCTTGCTTTTTAATGTCTAAGAATCTGTGTCCCCTCTGAATGCCTCAATAAACTGTAACAAGATTATAGGAGGAGCATAATAGAGCATGGTTTGTGTTTTCAGCCTTAAATTCATTTATTCTTAAGTCAAACAAATGTTTCTCTAATTCTGGAATATCTTTGAGCAGGCAAATTGACAAGAACATAAGAAATATCCTACTTGTTGAGTCTTAGTTATAACACAGAATTACCAAACAGCCTGCTGTATGGTCTTGTTATTTGTGCTGCACTTTCTTTGCTCCTTATTTGGCAGCTAAAGAAGAAGCAGTTTTGTTTGGTTTACTTTTAGCAATCAAATTGGTTTGGTTTTTTTTGGGTTTTTTTGGTTTTTTTTTTTTTTTTTTTTTTTTGGTGTTTTTCCCCAGGAAAAATTTGTGCAAGAATCATAATGCCTTGATTTTGGGGATTTTTTTGGATGATAAATAGATGCATGCAACCTCTCCAAGATAAAACACATACAAAGCTTTTCTTCAAATAAAAATCCTATTTATAGGATAAAATTGTTAAACTTCCATGGTCCAATCTTGAACTCTGCTTGCCTAGCAACAAATAAAATATAAACCAAAACCAGTAATCCATCTCCATCTGATGATGCTCCTGGGAGCATCACAACCCCAGGATGCAGAGGGGCTGCTCAGGCTGTGAACACAAGAAATAGCACATGTCTTTGGAGGTTGTTTTCTCTGCATCTGCCTTATGTTTATTTTAATTTGCTGTGCATTTCATGAGCTGTGAGCCAAGTAATGGACTAATTGTAAGCATGTAGCGTATCTTCAAAGACTTGTCCTTTTCTGAAAGAATATGTTTTTCTTTTCTTCTCCTATTTCAGCACATCAGTAGCCAAGATGTGCTTAGTAAGTTTACATGCAGCAAGCATTATGCCAAAGTTTTCTTTTCATGATTTATTGCAGTGGTGGGGGCCTCATTTTATGATTTAAGGTGGTATTTGTCATGATATATAGAGCTGGAAAAAGCAAACCAGAAAATATTCTATAACCAGTAAAGTGAGACAAATACTCTTTGTAGACAATTAATCAACAGTGACTTACAAGTTAGTTAGATTGCTAAATTCAGCACCATAACTGTGAATTTTTGGATGAGGGCAGAATTATTCTAGGCAACCGCTTGTTTTCTTTTTGCGCAGTGGTTTGTTGTTTGTTTGTTTGTTTAGTTTAATGTGTTTGTTGCCGTATTCTTTATTGCCATTGCTAGGTGGACCGCCAGTCCCAGTTTATCCAGGGCTACCGCGTCCTGTATCGCCAGACCTCGGGCCTGCCTGCCCCAGCCGTGTGGCAGAACCTGGAGGTCAAAGTCCCCACCGAGCGCAGCGCCGTCCTCGTCAGCCTGAAAAAGGGGGTCACCTACGAAATCAAGGTTCGCCCCTACTTCAATGAGTTCCAAGGCATGGACAGCGAATCCAAGTCTGCTCGTACCACAGAGGAAGGTTGGTAAAAGGGGCACAAAAGCAACGAGCTTTCATAGCTGACACTGGACGTTATTCTGTGTGTGCACGTGTTCATCTCTATTTCCTCTACGTGATTTTGGTTTGTCACACACCAAGGTGATGTTGAAATTTAATATAATATTGTTCTTTGTGCTGTAAATATCCCCTGAGAAAGTGCTGTACTGGTCTTATCTTCTTCTAGTTGATACATCCTTCTAAGGTACAGGTGGCTTTTGGTCTTCCAAAAAGTGTGCACTGCAGCCCTTCTTTTGTAACCACTGCTGTTGCAATAAAAGACCTTGCTGTGCACTTTGAAAATAAAATAAATACAAGCTCTCACAGATGAGTGTTTGATACTAAGCACATCCTTCTGAATGGGTAATAATGTAGATGAACAGTTGGCTGGGAAACGAGGAGTAGTGAAGGACATATATTTAACTAGTCTAGAGAAACTCCAGTCTCAAGGGCACACCACTTCACAGTTTCTGTTAGCACAGTGTTCATGAAATTGCCCTGTTCAGTACTGCAGAGGATTCCCCTGAGCACCTTTGAAGCCTCTCTGAAACAGTCACGATTCAGACAGAGGGAACAGTTTATACTTCTGAAATGCTCAAGCTTTTATATCTATGGCATATAGCCTTGTATATAGTTGTGCTAAAGCATGTGCACTCCAGGGCTGCTGGGTTTTTTTGGTTTTTTTTTTTGAAAAGTAAAGACACTGGGGTAAGATGCAAGTCCTTTTAATAATTTGCTATTAGAAACCCACCTTTCTACCTATGTAATGCAGTCTTTGCCTGGAGAATCTCTCCTGTAAAAGTAGGATGGTCCTAACAGTGAGGGTTCATCTTCTCTCTATGTCACTGATTTTGTTGTTTTTTTTTTTTTAAGTGAGAGAAAGAAATACTAGTGAAGTTTTAAGGTGTTCATATGGTTTCAATGGGTTTTGAGTGCACTTTTTCCTTCCTATTGAAAGTGCATCTTAATCATTTACAGTAGTCTCCTGAGGTTTAATTTAGTGCTGATTGCCAAGTACTCTTTAATTCCAGAACAGACTTGCTTATTACTCACTTTTCTCTTCGATTTGTTATGATTATTAGCCAACATGGAAGTAAAACTGAAGATAACTTGGTTGCGCTTTGCACTTTATGGATAAGGAAATTCAGTGTCCTGCAACATGTAGAAGAGTGTGCAGGGAGGCAGTTTTCAAGTCTGATTTAGAATTTGGGATTTTATGGTCCCCAGTTCTTTGTTCAAACTAAAAAGCCTATATCAGTTAGTGAAGAATATGTTTGCAGCACTCTGAACACAGGTTTTATTTCATAAAAAAAGAGGAATTTAAAAATATTTCTACAGGTGAATTTTCTTTTCTGGGGTTAAAATGTGGGATTTTGTTCTCTCACTAGCAGATTTTCCTCTTGTCCAATTTCAGTTGACTTTTACTGTTTATTTAGTTCATCTAACTGTTTCTTGCTAAAGGTAATTTACTAACTACTGAAAAAGAAAGAAGGTTTTATACCTCCTGTCTATTTCTATAAAATACTTGAGGAATGACATTCGCTTTTATAAACCTTAGCTCCCAGCAGAGCCTGTCAGGTAATTTCCTACCTTAAAGGACACTTTGTTCATGTGGAATAGCTTTCCACATAGTGAAGATTAAAAAAAAATATTCCTGCCTGCAGATATGTATAACTCACAGCCTAGGATCTGCTTTGTAGATTACTATAACCTTCAAGGAGTCTGTTTACAAGTATCTCCTCTCAAAAACGTCAGCATAGGACCCGTAATATTATCACCATAAAGATGTCAGCTCCTGTAAAAAAATTCTTCCTCTTCCTTGGGTGAAAAAATTAGGTACTTCCATGAGAAAATTAAGACATTCAGGAGATGCACTTTTACCCATATTTCCTTTATTTCCTCATATTATCTTTGTAATTATATTGGGTTCATGTATTTCAAAAATAGTATCAAATAAATGTTTAATGACAGTGGTTTACTCCCCTTCCACTGAAGAAAGATGGCAGTCTATTTAAAGGTGCTGTGTTGCTTGTGATTCCATTTCAAAAATGAGCTTTTTTTAGACTTGACTTTAAAAAAATGTCAGCTGTACTATTTTTAGAAAATAATTTGGAAAAGTGATATGAGTGTTGGAAGTTTTTTTGAAACATGAAAGCAAATATCCCTGGTAAAGGCAAAGTATGACCGAAAGGTAGTGGCAGCTTTCTGCTGGATTGGATTTTACATGCCATGTTACTTCTGAGGCCTACCTCTAAAAATCAATTTTGCTGCAGTTAGACTTTACCTCTAGATCAGACATTTGTCACAGTTCAGTATCCATCCATCTCCTGCCTCTTTGGCCTTGTGAAGGTAACAAATGGAATTCTGTTTGGCTGTGTCTGGAAAAGATGAGCAGCGATTTGGGTTCTTTCATATCTGTAAGAAGAAGCTCAGCACTGGAATAATTGACCTGTCAAGAAGCAGGCAAGGTGTTCTCCACAAGCCAGCAGCAAGGGAAATGAGAAAACGGTTTTAAAAATGTTATTTTTCAATGTGATCTGTTTAATAACTGCAGTAGTGTTAGACAAGTGGCTTAATTTATATCACAGTGCCAGCTTACAGAGTGATATTATCAGAGGGAGGAAGCTGAACTGGTACATACAAACATGTGTACATGCAAACTGTGGGAACTAAATCAAAGATTTTATTTTATAATTTTCACTATTTCTTTAATACTTTCTCTAGAGACAGATTATTTGTTTTTTCTCTGTTACATCCACTGTTAAATCTCCTTTGGAATAACATTGTGGAGCAGTACTTGTCCTGCATCTTGTTTGTCATCACAAAAATATGACAGGAATGGAAGTCTCCTTAGCTTTTGTCAGCTCCTCTCTGTCAATATCTCGTCACTTTAACGCAGCTTTTAAAACGATATTTCCACAGCTGCATTCATTAGCTGTAATTTTAATTTTGCTTGATTTATCCTATGTCCTCAAAAAACCTCAGCAACACCAACACACACAGGTAGAATATTAACTAGAATGTTCATGCAGTTTAAATGAAAAGACAAATAAATACAGTTTTGGGTTTTTTTATTTTTTTTTATTTTAGAGTATGCTATTCATTTTACATTTATTTTGCATTTACACTCTCCTGTCCTCCCAGGTATGCATATATAGGGCATTATATTTCTGAATGCCCTTTTTGTTTCAGTGAGGAAAGTAAATAATTTTGAGTGAGTTGTTCCATTGTACTTAAAACCAAAAGTGAGTTATGCAGTGTTAAGCTTTGCCATTTTTATGATTATTATTTTCACGTAAAATATTCTAATTAATATCACACACATACGTTTATTCACAGTTTTATTGTTATTGAATAACTTGAAGACTTTTTAAATGCTAATTTTTTACTGTGTGGCAAATTATTTCACATGCCATAAAATACACAATGCAACTATTTATTTCACCAATTTTATGCTTTGCATGATTGCAAGGAGTAGCCCAAGGCCACCTTTCCATGCTTCACTTGAGCTGGCTGAGAGTCAAATTGTCCACAATACAGCTTCATTTCTCCCCTCCAGTTCACTGTTTCTCTGCACCAGGCAAGGTCACAAGGACTCTACCAAGCATTATTAGCTTTGCAGCTGAACCAGCATCTGAAAATGTAGTTGTCAAAATGTGAAGCCTCCCAGGACTGTAATATGTGTTACATTTTTCATCTAAAATATTTTTATTTCTGCTGTAATCTTGTATGGCTCCTTGTCCTCACCTCTGATACCCTAGTTTGAAGTTGTGTGATTCTTGCAGCAGAGCACTCCAATTTTTCAGGGTTATCAGGGTAAAGATTTGAGCTCAGCTGCATGAGCCTGTGCCAGGTCAAGTGCTGAGGAGCTTCCAATATGGGAACACAGCCAGCCTCAAAGAAGCTGGGGAGAACAATAGAAATATCTGACTTGACTCAGGAGGTTTGAACACTTCTAATATCTGTAGCTGTGCTTATTTGTGTTAAACCTGCTAGAATTTAATACAAAGATGCCAGGGGCTCTTGGCTTTTCTGAGAAGCATGTTCCATGAATGGGCATGGATATCTGTTAAAGATAAGACTGGAGTTCTGTTGCCATAAAGTTTAGCAGTGAAGAAGTCACTCTGACCAGGGGCTGGAGTCAGGAAACTTTGACACATGATGTGAGATGCCCCAAACCACATTGTTATTTAGGTTTGAAGTTGGAGCAGGAGAGTGATAAATATTTTTGTTTCTGGTATGATGTCTACCATTAGTCTTCAAAATCAACTTTCATATTTCAGATGAAGTGTTTTAAGACCAGGTTAAAAGCAATGAAAAATATGTGGAAGAAAAATTCCTTTAGTATTTATTAAACATAAAGACACCTCCCTGGAACAGAAGGTGTCTAAGCAACAGCCTCCTGTGAACTGGAAAATTGTCCTGGAGAGGTGTCACTCCATGCTTGCTTTATTAGTTCACACTTTTTTATTCACAACTTTTCTATTAGTTTTGTTGAGGACTGGGTAGATGGACTGGGAGAGATGGAATAAATAAATTCTAGGACCAGTTCCAAGCAGCTGCTATCCATCAGCTTTTCCCCCCAGGGACTATACCTTAATATGATACAGTCAACCTCGGTGGCCTAGCTTGCCACTGTGGTGGAGTTTCAACCCTTTCCTGGGAGCAAGGGAAGGATGAGGAGGGCTGCAAGAAGTTTTAAGTGACTGAGCAGGGCCTTACTGATAGTCCTCTGCCATGGCAGCTGCAACCGTGCCAGGAAATCCCAGTATGGATACAGGAGATGCTCACAAAGGAGACCTTTCCATAGCAGAGCTCCTGCACCACTTCTCTGAGCCACCAGAAGCACCCTGCTGCTGGTGTCGCTGCAAGAGGGGCTTTGCCAGCATAGCTCTGGTCACTAATAACTATAATTTCTAATTTTTTTTCACCCTTCCAGACAACAAGCAGGGCTGGCAGGCAGTTGTAGAATTGGCCTTGATATGCAGTGACCAGACAAACAGCTGTGAATGGTTGAACTGAACATGACTCTGAAGGGAAAGCAATTTGCCTAGGGGCAGAAAAGGATAAAAGTGACCTAACTTAGCACCTGCTCTATTCACTGGTTTTTGATGTAAAGCCATGAACATTTTAAGCCTTTTCCAGTTTGGACATGCAAGTTCTATGTTTAAACCTGGTATTGTCTTCCTGGAGAGCAAACAAAAAAGGGTCATTAAGTGTTGGCTGCTCACATCATTATTAGACCACGTAAAAATAGAAGAACCAAAACAGCTTTCAGGCCAGGTGAAGCAACCTTACATGTGACTTAGTTGATATATCCATAGTTATGCATGCATATTATGGAAAACAAAGGCAATTATGAAGACAGTTCCAATGCAAACGTAAGAAATGCCAAATATAAATCAATGAGGAGTGATTTCTATTGATTCTTCATTGCCACAAATTCCACATTGTCATTCATCCCAATGCTTCTCTTCAGAAGGGCATTTTTGAACATAGTCAGTGCCTGACAAAAGTGCATGCCTTGCAGTGTGAGTTTTCTGTATTGTATTCTTGTTCTTGCACTGCTTCAGCAAATTCCATGCCCTAGCAAATGGATTAATGCCTTGCTTCTGTTTGCTCCCTCTCCTTGGTGCAGCTCCAAGTGCTCCTCCTCAGTCTGTCACTGTCCTGACAGTTGGAAATCACAACAGCACAAGCATCAGCATCTCCTGGGATCCTCCCCCTCCAGATCACCAAAATGGAGTCATCCAGGAGTACAAGGTACACACCATGTCTGATGGGAGGGTTGGGTGTCTAGGGAAACAGCCTGCTTGAATTACAGAACAATAGCACTGTTTATGGATTTAGATTCTGACAGCATTTACAGCTGCCCATATAATTATATGGAGAAATACGACTGAATGCTTATGGATTTTATTATTATTATTTATTATTATTATTAATACTATTGCTATTACTTCTGTCAAATATTAAGAAGCAAAAACATCATGAGATTGATATGAAAAGAGAGCTGTAATTTCTAGCTAGTTACAGTTCTTTCTAGCTTTTCCTTGCTGTAGAACAAGAAGAGGAGATATTTTTTGTAAGAGGCTTCTGCACCCCAAAGACAGGCAGTGAAGTCCCTGTCTTGAGTACCTTCAATCTATCTGCAAAGCTGGCAGGAGTGTTGTTTCTTATTTCCTCTGCCAAAATGCTAATCCTAACATTTCAAGGTCAAAGGACTGTGATTCTGGGAGAATTCAAGACTTCTTCCAAGTACTATCTCTGTCAAGCTTCAGAACTTAGATGCCAGGTTGTTAGCTCTGAAAAACAGGTTGAACACAACTAGTATATCCAAAGTTTGCTACATGAGCGTTTCTTGCACTGGTTGTATTTTCTTCCTTTTTTTTGCTATGATGGCTCAAAATATCCACTCCTTATGCGTTAAATGTTGTTGTAGTCTGTAATTTCATACTAAGATCACTTTTGCACAGGGGTATTTTCACAACATTAAAAAAAATGCACTCTGTTATTCAGGTGGAGAAAACGATTGGGTGAGGTTCGGCCTTGTCACAGCATGGAGCACGGTTTGGTAAATTAACCTTGCTGTGGCTGGCCTATATACACCAAGTGTGAAATATTTAATTGAGATGGATCAGGGCAGCTTTCCTGACAGTCCCACAAAGGGTGGAAGTGGTGACTGTAGCTTATTTCATATAAAAAGATTTTTTTTCCCCTGCTGTATCTTGAGGGAACACAGCATGAAGAAGGGAGAAAGTGCTTGGCTTCTAAATCAGATAATGGTTCAACCTCTTCCAGCTTTTCACTTGGTCAGAGGGATGCAGTAAATGCTCACAATGTTTATGTTTAGCATAACACTTCTTTTCTTTTGCTTTTAGTCAATATCAAGATTTATTAATCCCAGGATTTTATTGATCCAGTTTTCATATCAATTAATAATTATCCTTTGGCTTAATTAATCTTGATCCCGACTCCAATATAAATCAATATAAACCATCCAGGGCTTATAGGCAAACGAGTAAAGCACACTCCTAAACCACAAAGCATGTAGATATGAAACAAAGTGGGCTGATGGCTAATAAAAGCCATGTTCCACGTGAGTGCTCAGGCCTCTGGGCTGTGTATAAAACCAGCTGGAGTCACTACCTATTACAGCCCTCCAGTGTTAGATTAGGTGGCTGCCTGAGAAGTGAACTAGCTCCAGTGAATGGTGCAGAGTCTAGTATTTCCTTGAGAGTCTAATAACAGTGCAGAGACTCTAGTATTTTACAGTATAAAATAATTGGTGAAGTTCCACAGTGCATTTTCTAACAAATTGAAAGTAGATCTGTTGATTCCACTTCAAACATCAGAATGCTTGTTAATTTATTCATTAATTAAATGCTTTTAATTAGGGGCATCTCATAGTTATTGTAATCTAAGACCAGGACCGACAAGGAGTGAAGGAATGAATGCAACAGTTACTCACCTTAATGCAATCTGGCTGGCAAATAGGATCACCTTAGGTTTAGGAAAACAAAATAATTTTTTTCCTCTTCAAATCTTTCTCAGCATTTCACAGGAAAAAAATATAAGGTATGGTAAAACACTGAGCAGGGTCAAAGTAAGTGTAGAGATTTTATTGCTGTTGCTTAGATGCATTAGTTTGTCACTGAAGTGGTTCCACCAATAGTGTTTCCTTCTGCTGTTATTTTTATGCAAGTGTACCTGTTTATGCATTGATTTTCTTGTGTGGTAGTAGATGCTTTCTTTAGTAATACAGAAGCAGTATTTGCAGACAGCATTAACTGAAGAAACATGCCTAGAAGTTAGTTTGAAACCTCTTTGGAGAATCCTATAAAAAATGCAAGAGGGAGACAACACTCTGAACTCATAGACTGTTCTCATCACAAAATGCTAGTTGTGATTATAGGGTGGATTTTCAGTTTAATTAGATAATATTTGAGTGAGAAACTGATGTCTGGATTTCTAAACAATGTAGCTAATCACAAAGGCAGCAGTAAATGTGTGTCTCTGCTTATTCCATTTCAGAAATTTCGAGTATCCCTCTTGTGCAATGAAAGGAAGTTGAAAAAAATTTTGAAAATTGTTTATTCTTTAGTGCTTTAAGAAGTGTTTCAACCTGTGCTCATATATTTTTGCTATTCAGCAGGAAATTTAGAAGGAAAAAAATGTAGGTTTTTTTTACACAAAATGTTTGCTAAACAAGATTTTGATTAATATATAACATCTCTTTGCCACTTGGATGATCTGGTCTGTGCTTCTCCGAAGTGTAAGCACAGAATTTACACTCCATGGAGAGTCAGAGTCCACAGAGGTATTTGCAAGCAGTCTTTGCAGCTGGCTTTGTCCTGTGCTAATCTGGGATACTTTGCTGAACTAAATCATCCCAATTTCAGCTCTTCCTGGAGAGGAAGTAAGATTGTCAAGAAGTCCACAATAAGTGATTGCCATGAAATACCTTGATATGTCATATCTATGCGCGATTGTGTGAGTGTGAAGAATTTCATCTATTTTAACACATCAACTTTTGTCCCAGATCTGGTGCCTAGGTAATGAGACTCGATTTCATATCAACAAAACAGTAGATGCAGCCATTCGGTCTGTAGTAATAGGTGGCCTATATCCAGGTATCCAGTACCGCGTGGAAGTTGCTGCAAGCACCAGTGCAGGTGTGGGAGTAAAAAGTGACCCACAACCCATAATAATTGGTAAGTTATTGTCTGTTCTGTTGTTTTGTTTTGCCTGGGGTTTTTTCTGTTATGGTTTTTTTTTTCCTCTCAGAAATGCTTTCCTACATCACTTCTGGAAGCATAAAAATCAGTGGAGGAAAAGACGGGGTTTGGCTAGAGCTGGTTAGTTAATTTAGTTAGCTTTTATGTCCCACTGCCTGCTGAAGTTTTCTTCTCTTACTGCAGAGTTCTTGCAGACAGCAAAGAGAAGTATGTTCCCAAGACATATGAGAAAATGCATATTGCCTGGTGAAACTGTTTTTATATTTTGGGGGTTTTTTGAAATGAATTTACCACTTCTTCAGGTTAGCAGATGTGTGGAGCCCAAGCTCCCTTTTCCTTCTGTTAAAATGGCTGGAATATTGCCTTACTCATTCCACTGGAGCCTAAGGCACTACCTACCATTGTTTTCTGTATTTCTAAAGTCAGTGTTTTTCAGGTATCCCAAGAAGACAAGCCAAAGCAAAAGTTCTCTTTAGACCAATTAGAGAGGAAAGGTAGCATTATCATCCCAGCCTTGGAAATAGTTGTTTCTTGGTAGTTATCTCCATGCAGAACTAAATTCCTGACCTGAGGGGAACACAGATTTTATTTCTTCTGCTGTTTATACTCTGGAAATTTTTTCCTGAGTATAAAATATAAAGATGAGAACAATATGGAAGACTAGAAGTGATTATGTTTAGCAAACCTGAAATGAGCTGTGCAAAGCAGAACCTATTTTGAGTGCACAATAGAGGAATTCTGTTGCTTTTATGTGTATAATCTGACTTAGTTATTGCTTAATGATCTTTTGTTTGTTTGTTTGGGGGACTTCTCTTGTTAATAAATATTTTCTTTCTAGAAAATTTTGTCAATACACTGTCCCAAACATGGACTAGTCCATTATGTGTAGACCCTTAGAAAAGGCTGTCCCACAAACTTTGCTTAAATGTTTACTGATATTTAGGTTCCCCAGTCATCAAAAAAGAAGCTAGGATACTTCAGCTTTGAAGTCCCACTGGGAGACAGAAATACAAGAGTGAAAGTGGAGGTAGCACTTGGTTTAAGAAAGGCAGCCACAGAAACACCAAATAAAAGATGCAAAAAAGATAGCTAGAAGTGAAAACAAAAACTTGATTTTTGAAAATGCAAGAGACCCCGGAACTTTTCACTAAGGGGTCTGTCTAACTAGGAATGAAATGCACTGCACTTAGTCTAGCAAAGCACAATAAGTGTATTGCATTTGAAGTACATGGGTAGCCTTGTGTCATTTAATGTGTTGTGAATTATACTTGCACCAAAGGTCTTTGGTGGAGATTCCCAGAGTTCTTAGTGATATGTATTTGTTCCTTAAATGATCCCAGAATGTCTGCTTCAACAAGTTTGTTTGGTGACATTTTTGCACATTTGAGAGTCATTTGCATGAAAAGTAACAGAGAGTGGTTTCTGTTTGGGTTATGTTTCTGTTATAATTTCTGTTTCTCTTTTGGGAGCCTGAAGCTGGATGTGTTTATTACATTTATGGTCTGTATCTCCCTTTTCTTTAGGCCCAATTTTGCTATTGATTATGAATTGCTAGCAGTTATTTCTCAGACTATAAATTTGATTGATAAATGTAACAATGTTTAAGTGATACCATTTCTGAAAAATTTGAGTTGGCACCATTCAATGTTTGAATGGGAATCAAAATCATAAAATATGAAAATTATTTTTTAAGGAATTGTTATAAAAAATGGTTACATGGATTTAAAGTGAGCTACTGAATAAACCTCAAAACATCATAATGAATGGGAAGCCATTACTGAGTTATTGTAATAAAGTTCTATATGGTCTGGTGCTTATCTGTACCATTTAACAACTTACAGACAGAATGAACAGCTCCAGAAATGCTGAATTATAGAGAGAAGAGGTCAGTGGTGCAGGAGAGTTAAGCTGTATTTCTAAGCAGTAAAAACTTTTAATAGTAATGAAATACGGAGTACAGTGATGTTATTTTTCAATATAAGATTCATTCTTCTAAAAATGTTTCGAGGCTTTTTTTTTCTGGTTTTCATGGTGGATAATCAACTACTGACCTCCCACAGTAATTTTAGATAACAGACCTGTTACAATCCAGAAAGCAAAAAAAAAGAGTAGGAAGCAGTAGGAGGTATATTATTCCTTTACTTAGAAATTGTCTCACTGTTAGAGGAATCTTGTGCCTGTACTTGAAAAATTTTATGGAAGACTCAAAGAGAATCAAGAATAAAATTTTATGATCACTAATGATATGCTTGAAAACATTCACTTGGAAAACCAGAAGTAAAATTGGAGATAAGGGCAATGCTGGTTAATGCTGTAGCTATTATTTCTCTTCATCAGCTGGCCTGGTCCCTCTTACATTCCATCATTGGCATAATAATATGAGGAACAGCTGCAAACTTTCACAGTAATAGGTACAATCGAATCTGATGTGTCTAATTAATTTTTGGTCCGACAAATTAGTTTTGTTCTTCATTACTCTCCAATGGGAGGAAGACATTATATTTCATTATGTTTTTGTCTTCAGGAACAATGGAGCGTTACAGGTCGCACACTTCCCTTGTCTATGTTCTAATTAGTTCAACTGACAGCATTGTTACAGAACCACCTGCAGTATATGAAATAGTACACTGGTATCTATTTATTACTTCTGCTTATATATTATATAAAGTACTACAAGACTAATGTTGTTTGCTTCCCCAATCCCCTACAATTATATTAATTTTATCAAAAGTCAGTGGATAGCATTCATCTGTCTCCATTTATTCTTCGATCAAATTCATAAAGCATATATTATTTTGACATTTAAATGAATTCTTACTTTTGCAGTTGTAATTGATAGGCACAGAAGGGTCAGAGCAAACAGCCAGACTGCAAATTTTAGAAGGTAATTTGGAGACAGATTGTATCTTCCCCTAGAAGAGAGGCAGAACATACAGTCCACTGGAGCCTCTTCCCAGACACTTTGCAGTTTTCTCTCACATCCTCCCTTTTCAAAAGACTGTTTTCTGGTCTTAGAGAAGACAGAATCCTTGGATGTTTTTGAAGGATTTAGTGAAAAGAACTCATTTTTGTATCTAGGAGCATCCACTCCCAAAGCTGGTATCTCCAAAGTACTTCCCTGCCTGCTCTTCTCCTTGGTAGCACGGCAGTGTCTGAAGCAGTGCCAAGACTACCTGTTTCCTCACTGTCCCACTGCTTTGGCCTCCCCTCCAAAGGGCACAGAAATTAACTGCAAGTTAATGGTAATTAGAGCAACTCCAACTCCCATGCTGATTTCTACTAGAAAATCGATTTTGTGTCTGGAGGAGCATGCCATGGAGAGCCCCTTTCTATTAGTTTTACTGTCAGCTCTTCCTCTTTCAACACTGGGGTGCTCCTATAGCACCATGTTCTTTTTCCATGGGCAGAAAAAAACATGGAAAAACAGATAAAGCAGCCACTGCTGCCTGCTTTCTTTCCTTGCCACAGCTGATCACTCAGTTTCATTCTCACATACTGAATCAGGTCTGGAAGCCATCGGGCCTTTGGCAGTGGCAGGACAAAAGAGGCAAGTATGGCAAAGGACAGCTGCAGCTCTCAGAGCCTGGTGCTGGTAAAGCTTCCCAGCATGGCCAGTATAGACTGGTGAATGACACCAGTGCTGGTGCACTTTTTGTACATCTGGCAGCACCCCTCTGTGGGACTTACTCTGCTTGCTGGGAGCCTCTTCTGTTCCTTGCCCAGAACGACTGAATGCAAGCCAGGCTCTAGCACAGTCTGATTGCCAAAGCAGACAGCCATCAGTACTAAATACTGACATGATGCTAAAAGAGAGGAAGCCTAATGAACTCACTGGGTTCATCAGCAGTGCGATAGCAATGGCGTGCATGGCACTGCATTTCTCCCTGATTAACCCAGCCCAGCTCTGAGCACCACTGAGGCCTGAAGCTGCATCTTGGCAGGGCAGGGCTGGGCAGAGGCAGTCCCAGAGGGACCTTCTCAAAGGAACCCCTTTAATAGAACGTGTTAGCTCCAGGCCACCTGCAAAGATGTGTCCATGCAAATGGGACTGGAGGTGTCAGGCTTCTTGGATCTGCTTCAGCCAGAGACCCTGAGTGCTTTAGGTTTTAGGCTGAAGCCAGCGAGCTGCTCTGTTGGAAGAAGTAAATCTAAGCATTGCTGTATTATAGAAAAGGAATATGTACATTTTCACAGCATGGCGTAATGATACCATACTCTTAATAATTTTCTCCAAGCTACCATTTCAGTGTTTTACTGCAATGTTCAACTACCTTTATGTGTGTGATAGACTCTCATAATTGAGAATCATATTGTTTGCTTCTTCTTTGTCTCAATAGAGTAGCTACTCCTGCAGCACTTCAGCATGCATACAGGCATCTGGTAATAATGCCTAAACATTCCAAGGATTCAGCTATATAAATGCTTTTACTGGAAATAATGGATAATCTTTCACAAATTTCAAAACTGCAGATGTGGGCAATTTATATAAAACATACATAGAATAAAATTCAGGGGTTTATTTAGAAAAATATGTTCTGCATTTCCTAATTTTAAAACTAACTATTTTTGACAATTTGAAAGTGTTGGCCCTAGAACTATATGCTTTAGCATTTCCTGGATTTCCATTCAGATTTTTATGATTTTTTTTTTTTTAATGAGCATTTGTTTTCAAGCCAAATGCCAAGCTTTTTCTTTTAGAAAAATTCCCTTTTAGAGAAAGAGGGGCAAAACACCAGCAGGAGCATCTACTGGAATTTGCAGTTTTCTGCTGTAATATACAATTTAAGATCCTATATAGTAATTTTTTGATGTATGACACTTTAATTGTTATTCCAAGTAATAATTATTTCTTGCAGGTTGATGTTAAGAATTTGTATGCATATTCTAGGTGAAAAAAAAAAGCATCTGTTGCTGTGATTGTTTAGTGCTTACAGTTAATTGTGTGATTTTCTGCTTTTTGTCAAAGATGGTATACTTAGAATTTGTATGAACAGCTTTTCCCTGGAAATAATTGCTGGAAAATGCATCTTTGCCCCAGTGGAAAGTGCATTTATTGTTAATTTCAAATTTAGAAGCTAGCATTCAGAGAAAAAAAAATGAGTGGAGCAAGAATTTTTGGCCTTCTTCTAAAATTTTGTATTTGAATTACTCATTTGGAAAAAGCTATTTATTGATTGTTTGGTTTATTTTTTTATTAGTTTCCTGTGATCCATTTTCTGATTATTGCATTCTGTCTGCCATTATAGAAAAACAAAGTAACAAATATGTATATTGCTAAAAAAATAGCTCTGGATTGGCATCTGTTAGATTACTTGGGAATTTGCTATGGGTCTGTCTTTCCAAATATATATCTGCAAAATGGGTGTGGATTTACTCTAGGAATACTGAGATTGTGGTGTGCATTGTTACTTCTAAAATTTCTTCTACTGGGGGTAATTCTTTTGCGATCCATTACTATTCTTTATAAACCTTCAATTTGTTGTACTGGTTCCACTGTGTGTTGCAGAATCCAAAATAACCACGTTCCGTTCAATTTCTCTTGTGCAGGAGGTCGTAACGAAGTTGTCATCACTGAAAACAACAACAGCATAACTGAGCAAATCACAGATGTGGTGAAGCAACCTGCCTTTATAGCTGGCATTGGTGGTGCGTGTTGGGTCATCCTCATGGGTTTCAGCATCTGGCTGTACTGGCGAAGAAAGAAGAGGAAGGGACTCAGCAATTACGCTGGTAAGAGCAGTGACTTTATTGCCATCTCAGCAGGTGCTATCATAAAAAGAAGAGCGACTACTAAACCTACCTAAAAACCACATTGAACTTAGAGCAAAAGTGTCCTGGGTGACTTCTGTATGCTTGTTTTAAATGTATGCTGTGAAATTGCTGGTGTATGAGAAGCTTTAAATGCATCGCTCGGTACCACATTTCATCATTATCATAAGGCAGTATTTTTACATCATTATCATAAGGTGGTATTTTTACATCTCCAGCACATCTAGCATTATAAAAGTACAAAGAGGATTAGCTGTTCCTCTTGCCCTTTGCTCAGAAGGCACTCTGTGCAGCATAATTTGTGTCTTCAAATATGAGTTAGACTAGACCCTTACAAGGAATGTTAAAGAATTTTTGTCTTCTTCTTTCCTGCACATTTCCATGTCTCTGAAGCCATGTGCATGGCAAATAAATGAAGGTACTTAATCAATGACTTCATACCTGTAGCTGGAAGGAAGACATATTAGACAGAGAAGCGTTGTGAAAATTTATCTAAGGCAGAAGCCATAAACAGTTTTGTCTTGGAGGCAGAACATTGTGGAATGTTCTCTTTCATTAAATGTTTGTTCCAATTATAAATTAGTTTTTGAAAACTACATTTGGAAAATTAAATATTCTTGCCAAAGGAAAATATTTTCATCTTTCCCCAGCATTTGTTTTGTGTATCATTCTGTTTTCAGGATTCTTATGAATTTTTGGGAAGTCAGGTGAACTGTCATAAAATGGGTTACTCTGAAGCCTAATTTAACACATAAAAACTCCAGTTCTTCAAATATTGCAGTAGGTTCTCTTGTAGTTCTTATTAACACTTAAAAAGAGAAAATATTTACCCAGTTAAGGACAGAGTATATTTAATACTGACATTATATCACACTAAAATTACACAAGTGCCCTTCTATTTACAAGTTATCAAATGTAGAACCAAGGACTCAGGTTCCCTAAATAACTGAGCAAAAGCTTGCCAAAACCCCACAATCAGTCATAGCCAAACTGTTCCCAGCTCAGTGCAGCCAAAGTTAGACTCCTCAGTGTCCTGACAGGGCTCACTAAACTAGCAGGAAACTATTCCATGTTGGTTTTCAATCCTTCCTGCTGCATTCATTTTTTACTGGCTTAGTGAAAGGACAGGAAGACATCAGAAAGTGGAAAGAAAGGAAGGAGAGACCAGTGGCTTTTGGACCTTCTCAGTTTTTGTGGAACCTCACTTTGTGTCACCACGTGATCTCTGTCATTCATGGGTTGTTCTTTGTTCCAAGGTGCTTTTTTCTTTCCTTTAATAGCAATAACTTTTACTCTCTAAAAGATGGGGTGGTTTTAACTGAGAAATTAATATACATTTCACACACTTATACATATGCTGACATGAAATATCCTTCTAGATCCCAAATTTTTTCATTCTAGAGACAGCTGTGCTGTTATTTCTCTTAGGAGGTAGTCCTACCTAAAGCTTTGCACACAAGCTGAGACTAGATATTTCTTAAAAAGAAGGATTATTAGTCCCATATGTGAGTTGGCATGTTGGGGTGAGGGAGAACTGAGAGCAGTCTGTTATAACTTGAAGAGTGTAGCTGTAAATAATTATAAACAGCATGTCTTGTGCAACTCATTCCTTCCCATGGCATTTGCTGCATCTAAGTGTGATGTGATCATCGATTGCATCATGAAATTGTGTATGCTTTCAGCAAGGAAAGTGGATAACAGATCATGCTTCAGAGTTCATCCTAATGTTTACAGTTTGGAATACAACATGTCCTCACAGAGAGTTTTCAAATGTGACTGTCAAAATTCACTGCTCATCTTTCCAACCATCATTTCTCATTGGCTGCTGGCTGGTTGGTGCTTTAAGCTCAGCTGTTATGTGCTGCTTATGATATTCAACCCCACCTGAGTGATTTCCAGAGGAAACTCGTGCCCTGCAATTAGTGCTTTTTGTCAGGGTGTGTAACTCACAATGTGTTTGCTTTCTTGTTTTGCAGTTCAGTCCTTCACCTTCACCCCTGCAGGTACTGTCCATTAGTCTGTCTCTTACCTCACCAACACACCATTTCAAGCATTAGCTATCAAAGTGTTTATGAACATGTGAGATATGAAGAATTAAAACCAAGTACAATGAGAAATACTTTGGCTGCCTATCTGTGATAAAAATGTAGCATTCATTTTCCTCTGGAGAGTAAAATCTACCACCACTAATGTCTCTGTCACTATAAATCTGCATACTTAAGTCACTAACTCTCTAAAATGCAGTTTTTTTCAGGACCAGATGCCTGAACTAAACATAAACAAGCCTTCCACATATATAACTGAATTTTGATTTTAAAGCTCAAACAGCTTAGCAGATCTAAGTGGAGAAATGAAACTTTCTTCTACTTCAGCTCTAAATTAAGTATATGTTTGCTTTACCATGAAGTGTTCAGACCTTCAAGCAATCTAGTCACTAACTGATGCATTCATTGACTTTACAGGATTTTTGAAATTGAAATATTTTGGGTTTTTTCTTACTACCCAGCTCAGAGCTGGTATCCTATTTTTCTTATCTTTAAAAAGATAGCATACGGTAGATTATTATATGGTAGACATAAACATGATTAAAGATAGGTGAAGGATAAGCAAAGAATGGCTGAAACTTCAGGCTGCAAACACTTTATTCAACATATGAATAGTCAGGAAAAATAGAGTATACAATTAATAATAATAATAATTATTAATACAATTAGCTGCTGCTCTCATACCTAATCTCAATATTTAGAAACTCAAAAATAATCGCACCTCAGTGTTACAGTGTTAAAGGCTGATAAAACTCAGTGTTTTCCAGCAGAAGATTTTTGGGTATAGTTTGGCCCCTCAGTTGCCTTTACCAGAGCTGTTTCCTCATCCTTCGTATTTGCTTTCTCACTCTTGCTTGCCTTCAGCCACAGCTTGTGTTCAGCTTTGCAGGAAAGAGCAGATGACCAAAGGTGGTGATGTGTGCCCCAGGAGCCCATGATATTCTGAGGGAGAAATGTCCTTGTGGAAAAGCTCTGAGAGCTCAGGATTGCTCCCCTAGTTTCCAGGCAGGTCTGGTCAGGTTACTGTAAGCTATGTCACAGCACATCCCACCCTTAACACTTTACTGCCTTTTCTTTGAGACACAACATGGGGTTTTTCCCAAAACTAAATACATCTTTGCATTTGGTTCCTACGACTATGGCTCTGTCAGCTGCCTTGAACTGTGGTGGATTTTTACCATTGTGTTTGTGGCATGCATTGGCACAACGCAGGGTTGTGCTGGAGCCACAGGGTCTGAGCATGATTTCATGCTGCTGATCCACATGTGCTGGGCAACTGGGATATATCAGAGGTACTGCCAAAAATATTCTGGTTTAAAAGCAATTTTGACAGCTTGTGGATGTTGTAGAGCTATTCTATTTCCTGGCTTATACTAACTTTTGGAGGAATTGAGGACCTAAGTCCTCCAGTAATCGAGTCCAAAAATTTTTTTAATTTAGAAAAGTACTTTCCTTATGACAGAACATAGTGCATGTTTCTTGCCTTTAGACACAGACTTCCATAACAAACTTTGTTAATTCTCTAATATTTTAATTTGCCCTTGATAATATCATTTAGAAAGACATACCTATGCTTGTGGAGGTTTGACACTCACAACTGTATGTTGTTCCCTTCAAAGTTATGATTTATAAAGAGTTTGAGTTTAGATACAGTCATTTAGACAGTGGTATGGAGCTTTCAGAATCTCCTCAGACACATCTGTCAATGAATTTTTACTTAAGATTACTTTATCCTAATATACTCAGATTTTAGAAGGTACACACTTTTTGTTCTGACATCTGCTTTAAATTCTTCCTTCAGAGAGTTGCAGAACATACAGATTTAACTGTGTGGTAGAGCATTGAATCTATTAGGTAGAGAATTAAATAATACTAACAATTTATTTCACACTCAGAAAAAAATCCCCTGTTATTTCTGATGCGAATATTTTTTATTTTTCTTCATCTGTATTTGCCTGTGTGTAGAACACAGAACACTAAAAATAGTTGTTTAAAAGTCCAAATCAACACAGTTTTTTAATTACTTGCTAAAAATTTTCTTTTGGGTCATTTGCAGATTATGGGTCATTCACTAGGACCACTTGTTATTTTTGTTCTGTTATTAGTCTCCTGAGTTTTACAATTTCTGCTTTGTGACTATACCACTGTAAAATGTGTGGGAGAAGAGCAAACAGCAAATGTCAGGCAGTTTGTAACGATTTGTGTCAGGGCAGAATAACTGATCGAGTTAAATACTTTTGGCTTTCTGTCTTTGGGAACATTTTCATAAGCACTAATCAATGGCTCAGATGGTCACAAATAAAGTGGCATTGATAATCACAGCTAAATCTTTTTAGCTATTTTCAGTTGAACTGGCTCCAGTGGTCACTGAGCCACAATTCTGTACATCACTCTTCTTCCAATTCCTTTTCCACCATGACTCACCAGGCCTTGATTCTCAGTTATATCAGTGCTACAAAACATAAAATTTAGCTAATATGTTTGTTAGATTTCTGTTGGTAAGTAGTAATGTCACCATCTGCAGCTGTACAAGTGACATACTCTCAGCAAAATCAAATCTAACACAAGGACACTAAACACAACTGCCACCCCTTTTCAACCATTTCTCCTGTAATATAAAGGATGGATTCGTCTCACTTATGTGAATTTGTGTGAAAACTAAAATACTGCTGCACTGTTTGGGTGGGGTATTTTTTGGGTTGGTTTGTTGGCTTGTTTGGGGTTTTTTGTTTGTTTTTTTAACGATTATCTTTCCTGTACCCTCAAACTTGTTGTGCCAGTACTCACTCACCAGTGTATTCAGGTATTTTCAAGTGTCTAGGTGATCAGTCATGCAAAAAAAGTAAATATGTATTTTAACTTATGAATAGCTAAGCTTATTTAGTGACTAGTGCTCCTTGGGATTAAAGATTTTATGAAACCCAGTAAACAGAAAACAAATTAAAAATAGAGAATTGTGGAATTTTGCATATTTTATGTGCAACTCCTGAAACTGTTAAATGAGGATAAACTATATGACAGAATCATCCAAAGGTAGACAGAAGATTTGATGGAATTTTTATGTGCTGATTATCTGTTCTGAGTTAATGCTTATTAAAAGAGGATTAATCTACATTCATATTTGAGGAACAGCTTATCAGTAAAAGGAATGAGACTTGGCTGGCAACATTAAAGTTTTCATTTGCAGTAGGAAAATGTGGCCTACTAGAGATAGGCATACAGAAAGCTTTCTAAAGCTTTCTAAAGATTCCTTGCCTCAGAATGTCGACTTACTATGCATTCATATTTTTCCAGTTCTTGCAGGCATGAAGATTAAGTTTAACCTTGTCAGATAATATTAGTAAATGGTTTTGGTGCCTCCTTATATATTTAATAAAAAGCATGTGAAAAGCTCCTTAACATATGCTGGTTTTCATACAAATATATACAATATAATTTCCTAAAATATTTATGCATTTAAAATGCACTTTGGATTATATTTCTGCATTTTTGCAGTCCTTGAAGTATAGGCTGGTGGGGATTCCTTCAAAATCTCTCTATGCAGAGGTTATTTTTTCATCTTCTTTTGAAAACCAATCTCATCCCTGCAGGTCTTCAGCCTTTCTAAGAACATGTATCAGATGCAAAGACTGCTGAAAGAGCTTTTTTGCTTCCTTGGTGATAAAAAGCAAGGAAGATAGGTGGGTCAGTGATAGGGACATCCTTCCCTCCCTCCTCTTACATTGCCCCTTGAAATTGCTCTGCTGCTTTTTGAAGTGGAGACAGGATGAATAAAGCCAGCTGTCTGTGTGTTTTATTTTTACAGTGACATCTACAAGCCTGCATTGCATTAAGTATGCTCCTACTCAGGCGTTTAGACTTGTTTTGTAATTGCAGAAATCAAACTGCAGGAAAAAATGCTGACAAAATGTATGGCAGGAATGATAAACATAGTGCTTTTTTTGGCAGCCTGACCATATCTTCTGTTGTTAGCTGTCTTGCCTTTCACAACATTGATGCTAAAAGAAAGGCACCTTCTCTATCCAGTCTCAGGTAGCCCATTTATGGATGGCATCAGGAATATGGAGGGGGGTGGTAGTATCCCAGTGACATGGCCACACTTCAAGAAGAATTTTGGCAAGCTTAGTTGGTATTCCAAAGAATTTTACACCAAGAAAATTAATTAAATAAAATGCTTTCGGGTTTATTTTGTCATTGAGATTTTAACCATGCATACATTGATGTACAGGGTGAAGGGTAAACAAAAAAACTGTTTTCCTTCCCAGCTCCATACACATCACATAAACAAGACTCAGTCTTCCCTAGGAAAAAAAAATGTCACTGCAAGCTGAACCTTTCTTCTAAAGATGATGCATATATTAGGAGGGTGTAAGATGATTTAACACAGGAAATTTAAAAAAAAAACAAAACCCAAAAGAACAGGAAACAGTTCCTACCACCAGGACACATGGAAGAAAAAGGAGGAAATTCTGTAATCCTTGTTTTTTTCTCAACAATCTCTAATCTCTTATGCCACAGCCAACCTGCAGGAATTATGGATCTAGAAAAGAGATTTCTATGTAATGTTTTCTTGATGGAATTTTCTTGGCATACCTGCGAGTTTTTTCACATCTGCCTACACAGAAAATAAAATATGCCAGGCAAACTTTGCTGAAATCACCTGCTAGCTCCTTGATTTTAGCTTTGCTTTATAAAGGTACACAAGGATATAAATACTTTGTAGACCACAAATATTGTTGTGATTATTTTTTTCCTTCATAGGACATGCAGCTGTACATGCTATATGAGTGGCAACAAAATTACCTCAAATAATTTCTGGTAGATGACACTCTAAACAAGAGCATGAATCCAAGCAGTTTTCAGAAAATATGTTTTACTGCAATTCCCTTACATCTGTAAACTTTATTTATAAAGGTTGTTATCAAACAAGCCTTTGTTTCTAATTTTCCTTATTTTTATCGCTTTGACAAATGCAGAAAGTTGGAGAAATCAAGTATTAAATTTGGAGGAGAGGAGGAGGAAGGAAACAGCATCTAATACGCTACTGACCAAGATACTTGGAAACAAAGCCAGGCAGTACCCACATCTTTGCATAATCACATATGATATGCACAGCACTTCAGATTATTCACCTTTAAACAATGAGTGGAAGTCATTTGACAACCTTTTAGATATCACGTGAATGAAAGCAACATTGCCTCTAAAATTAATTACCCACAATGTTTTACCATGTCTTGTTTTTCAAAGCAGACCTTTATTTAGTACTTTCCATACTTGCATTTTGATTTTCTTTTCATTAATTGGTTTGATTACACCCTTTCAAAATTCAGCTATTAACCATTTTGATGTGACATATGACTGCAGTGATTTTCTGATATTGGTATTAGTCTGCTGTGCAGTGAAGGGTAATTAATCACCCTAATATTCTTCAGCAGAGCTTTCAGAGGGGCCAGTTTTGTCCCCTTTGCTGAATGTACACTAGGAATTAATAAAGTAACAAGGATTCTATAAGGTATCAGAAGAGTTTTCCCAGTGGCTTTATGTCATTGCTTATTTTTTTAATGAACACAGAATTTCTATTGGCTGTAGTCATTTTGTCCGATTAGAATAGTGTATAATAGAAAACCTAATCCTGAGCTAGTGTAGTTTGGCCTAATACTCAGTAAATCTTGCAAATACTCTGGGAGCTACAATTTACTGATGGGACAAACTGTCTTACAAAGGTAAATAGTATTTCCAAATGCAAGTCTATTTAAAATTAAACTGGTCACAAACTCTTCCATTCCTCACTGAAATTCAAACCCTCATCCAGTCAGAGCCCTTTAAGGCTGCAGGTGTCCAGGACATTGGTATAATTTAATAGTCTGCCTTATCTATGCCTGACAATAAATAATGGGATATTGCCACTGAGAACCAGAGTAGTCTGTTGGCCTTGATTCAAAATATTTTTTTCAGTGTTTCAGAAAAGATCATCAAATGTTGTCAATTAGCATCTCACCAGTAATGTGGGTTTACATATATTGCCCTGAAATGTAATCCTGTTAGTAGATAGATAAGGGAGAGGCTGTTTTTTGTCGAACACCCATGAATGGAGAGATAAAAGCAATTGTCTCACTCTGATTATGTCCTTGGCATCCCCATGGATGGAAGACTGGAAACACTTTTTCTTCCTGGTGACACTGGCATGTATGCATTTATGTGTGGGTGCTAGTTCTTAAACTGTACTTCTAATGGAAGAGGTGCAGCTGGATGCTTTTTTCCATCCCTTCAGCTCTAATAGAGCTGCCACCTCTTTGTGTTTGTCCTGGGAAATGACATATTTGTGTAGTGACATTATATTACTGCATTATGACATGATGTTATTAACTCACTGGTGCAATGCCATTATGTGCTGAAGCAGAAGCATGCCAAGAAAACAATTTGATCACATGGCTCAAACTTGCAATGCAAAGTCGTATGAAGGGGCCTTGTATGTGGTGAATTCAGGCCTTTTGCTCAGTGGCTGCTTTGCCTTGCAAGGTACAGAGCAATCAGTAATGGGCTGTCAATCTGTAATGTGCAGTGAAATCCTAAATGAACTGTAGCCCCAATGTGCTTGAGCCTCTTCTTGTCATTTCTGTACTTTATTATGGGATGATACCAAGAGACCTTGGACACTGAGCAGTTTGAATTGTTACTTTTAATTATTACTAATTGATTTTTCCCTGTCTTATATGTGTGTGTGTGTATGTTTGTTTGTTTTATTTTTACAACCAAAACACAGTCACCTTCCAAAGGGGAGATGGAGGACTAATGAGCAATGGAAGGTATGTTTCTTTGTATAAAGGTCTTTCCACTGTGCTTATTCTTAAAGTAAGGGATCTGAAAAATGCTGTAGGTGATGCACTCGGGTCATAGCCCATCATTGGGAAGACTGATAGCACTAGGAGGAGTTAAGTAGTTTACCACAGGGTTTAATGACCTATCTGTTGTGCACTTTGGAAGAAACAAGCCCAGATGTTTCATATCTCCCAGATGTCCTGGAAGAAATGAGTAGTAAATATCAAAAAGAATGTGTTCATTTGTTACTGGGATGTTTATTGCATTAATTAGACATTAGCAAATGAAGTTGCTGTTGTTTAAGACTCCTTATTGGCTCCCCCTAAATTGCTGTGAGTGAACAATTACACTTAATCGATCACAAAATAAATGATTCATGGATGATGAATAGGCTGTAGATTGATAGGACTGGATTCCACAACTTTGGCTACTCAATTGAAATTGATAAAAGCTGATAACGGGCCCATATATCCTCATCTATTTTCCCTTTGCCAATATGGAGATTGTAATTAGGCCCTGGTAATAACTTCCAATCTCCTGTTTAATCAATATTTTAGCAAAAAGAGATTAGGCCTAATGAGAGCGAGTAGATATGGCAAGAATGCGGCTGGGCCGTCTTATTGCCGTTTCCATAGAAACCAATGTTTCTCTTAGGGATTGTTCCAGGCAGGGGTCTGTAATGCTCAGTGATGGGAGATGTTGCTCCAACTTCACGAGTGCTTTAATAACCCGAGGAAACTGCGGAACTGCGGACGGCTTTTTGTTTTTGTGTGGCAGAAAAGGGTGTCTGCAGCAAACGATTTGTTTCCCCTGCTGAACAGAAATACAAACAATCCACCTGCCTTGCTAAATTTCTGTTCATCCTGAGGTGAGAGAGACATGGTGCCTCGTGGCCCAAGAGTGCCTTCTCTTTCACCATGATCCCTGTTTAACGCTGCTCTCAAAGTGGGAATTGCAGGGAAATTAAAGCCATGCAGTAGTGGCACACAGAGATAGCTGTGGACTTTCCATTAATCCTCCTCAAACCTGTTTGCCTCTAAACCATCCAAGAGTGCTCAAAGAATGAGTTACCAGCCTGTAGATGACAGGCATGCATTTGGGATGCAAGGGAAGGAAGAAATAGTAGCCCAAAGTCCTGGAAATGGCTGATATGGAGCAATCAGTTTGAGTGATGGCTCCCTCGAGGTGGTAATTTATCATTCAGCCCTGGCGTAGGATCCCATGATGGTGCTGCCTAACTCCTGTTTCACACAGACAACGGAGTTCATTTGGATTCTGGCAGAGTCACGATGGATGCCAAGTCCCACTTCTACTGACAAAGTTGATTTGTATATAACCTTAATTAACTGCTCAAGGTCTTTAAATCATCAAAGGCTATACAATTGTAATTTGAAATAAATTAAAGTCTCCTAAACTGTTAGTTACCTATGGTGTTAGAAGAACAGTAATATGCCCTCTTCCATTACTTATCTCACAGGTATTGTTTTTTCATATATATATATATATTTGTGTGTATATCTCTTTTTCTTATTCTGCTTCAGTCGACCAGGTCTGTTGAATGCCAGTGACCCCAGTTATCCTTGGCTTGCAGACTCTTGGCCTGCCACAAGTCTGCCAGTAAATAACAGCACTAGTGGACCAAATGATCTTGGGAATTTTGGTCGTGGAGGTAGGTTTCCTTTTGTTAAGTCACCCAATATTATAAAATAGGCTTCCATTAGTTAACATCTATGACGAATACTGTATAATATTTTTAACATTATACTTCTTTCTATGTGTTTCTTTCTTTTTTATATTTGATTGAAATTGACTTTAAAATGTTCCTTTCGCTTTATCTCTTTTTACTTTTTGAAAATGTGGGTCTAGTTTGTAATTTGCCTCACAGTGGTGAGACAGGGTCTGTTTATGATGTCAAGAGAAATGTATTTGTGTCTCAACCTCATTCCCTTTTTTGTGGAGATGAGCAATGTACCGTGAAGGGCAGTATAGCCAGGGGTGGAGGATGTCCATAAGAGCAGAGGAGAACTCTGGAGATGCAGGAAAGATGTTCCTTCAGCAGGAGGACACCAGAATTTTGTTGATGTCACCTTGCTCATCCTCTTCCTGCTCTCAGGGTCCTGCTCTCAGTCTCAACCATTATCTGTGAAGAAAACCTCAAAAGTCTTAAGCAACTTTCTTTTTCATTTGAGGAAAGGATACATAAAAGACAACCATTTAGATCTTTTAGGGGTTTGTTTCCATTTTCACTTGAGAGACACCTTTGGGGGTGTGAGGTAAAGATATATTGTTACAATGAGGAAGGAATTTTTAGAGGGGTTATTTAATTTAAAATATTTAACTCAAATGGGAATTTTAAGATGTGGGATTGAAATTTTTAGAAGTCATAGTAATATTCACATCTCTCTGTTACTTCCTTGGTTTCTGTGAGAACACAACTAATTCTGCATGCTGGTCAGAATTTGCTTCTGAAGACCATCTATCATACTGGGTATATATTCCCATGAAAAGCCTCTTGCCTGTGGTTTGACTACTGTGACTTAAAATTACAACAAAACACACTAGATTTATATTCTGTATAAAAACATTATAAAGTTCTTGTCAAAATTATTTAAAAGTAAGCAAAACTTTGGATAATATTTACAAGGCAATTGAATTTCTGCCAGCTTCTTTGTTGTGAATATCTTGAAAATAAAACACTTCAGTTCTTTTCCATCTTTTCTTAAACCCACATAATACAGAAAAATTACCATTTTCTTTTAGCATTTGGCTCTATACAACTGAAATTGGAAGCATTTAAAAAAAAATATTTGGCCTCAGTGTGCTTGAGGCATAGGTCCAAATTCATGCAAGAGATACAAGTTACATTTTAAAATCCTGTAGCTTAATTCCACCCGTGATCTTTACAGTTGAGCTGAAACTTTTATTCTGGGTGGTTTGGGATCACTTATCCCTATCTGTTTCACCAACTGAGATTAGATGTTTCTGCATTAAAGACTGATTGGAGGTATTTTAACGTGCAGAGATGGAATATTAACTATAAATATGGAGTTTGGGCCTCTTTTACTGGTTAAAAGGTTTGTGATAATGTAAAAGTTCTGTAAGAATTTTAAAAGAGTAGGGTGATATCATTCATCCTGGAAACTGAGAAGCTGATGCAGGCAGTTCTAAAATTTCCCTTAAGAGTGAGATCCACTGTCCTAAATAGACTTTTGAGAGCAAGGCTGTGAGTAGGAAACACAGCTGAGACTTGGAGTCATGTAAGGCCACAAAATGGTATTGCATCTCCAAGGCAGCAAGAAAGAGCTTCCCTGCACAAGTATTTCAGCACTATTTCATTCATCTCAAGAGTTACAACCAAAAGTTGGATTCTGAAGAGTTTTGAGGGAAGCTTCCAACGGGAAGTGTGTCTTTGTCTTTGGTCTGAAATGTACAGTGTGGTGTTTTTGCTATGACAGTTTTCTGGGAAAATCACACTTGACATATACTCAGTAGCTATGGCACTTTGTAAAATCTCTACTTAATAACTCTTTGAGTGCTTAAATGTATACATGTCACTGAGGTCAAAAAAGTAATTCCTGCTTGTACTGAAAATTCCCAGAATGTCTGGAGAACCTCAGCTTATCAGTTAGAATGACTGAAAGTCCTTGGCTGGTGTGCAAGCTATGCAACTTCCCTTTCAAGTGTGTACACATGAATAGTTCTCCATTTTAAGATGACTGTATAGAGATTATACCTCTTTAGTTGCCAGAAATATGCACTAAAAAATAGATATATGTCTGAGTACTTCAGAGAGGAGCATTTTGCTAGTTTTTACTTCCTTCAGTCTTCAAATCCAACAGACAGGTTGAGCTGGATTTACTTCACTTTATATATCAACAACAGAATTTATTTACTAAACTTCAAGCCATTATACTTTGACAGAACCAATTGTGGAAAGAAGAAATGTTCATATTGTGGATGAAATGCAAGAAAGATAGGACTGCACTTGTCTCTCACATCTCATGCTGCATTTGCACATAGATGCATTTTTGTTTGTGCACTGCCACTAGAAAGCACGTTGCATAGGTGCAGATAGTAACAGCATGATTTTAAAATATGGGCTATAGTTTGCATTAATTGGATTTTTTTTTTGCATCTGTAATTTATCTGCAGATATAAGTTAATACAATTAACTTATATCTGCAGATACAATTAATAAGTTAATACAATTAAATACGATTAAGATCTTTTAAATACTTGATTACACCCCTTTCCCTGCTGTATGCAAAACCAGATCATTTGGTTTAGACCCAAATTTAATCTCTCCTTCTGCAGTGTCTCTGCTGAACATTTGCAATTACCATATTTATTTTTAATATTATATCTATAATGTAAATATATTATATATATAATATTTTAATTATATACTTAAATATTATAATTATATATTATATATATAAAATATATTGTTGCTGCCCTGAGACAAAATATGTTATTAGGGTCCATGTTAAAATGTTCCCTGTAGCACACCTGAATGCAAAAGAAAATAGTTCTATGATCTAAAGGTTCATCCCAGGAAAAGAAAATACTAAACCCCCCCAAAAAAACAGCTAAAGCAAACAAAAAATACCAAATCAGTGTGATGAGACCATGGTGTCACATCTCATTGCTGGATAAGTCTTTGAGACAGTGAGAACAAATGTATTCCCTGAGGTTGCAGAAAACCCACATCTGAGTTTGGAACTGAGCTTAAACCTTTCACTATGTGCAAGAATCTTCTATTCTTTCTGGGGCTTAAGGTACACAAAAATGGCTGTGATCCCTAGAATAGTATCTGAACATCTTCACTATAGGAATATGCATTATCTCAATTATGATATAACAGTTGGAACCTGTACATGCCATCTGGCTGTAGAAAGAAAATGGCATAAAAATGAAGGATTTTTTAAAAGAAGTACATTCTGGAATTGATTCAACTTTTCAGAGTCTAAATATATTGTAAAAATAGTACCATCTGAGAGAGCAGGAAGGAGGGTTATCTGCTAAGCTGTGGTTCTCCTTGGGACATCATGCCAGTCATCATTAGATTCTTCACACTTCACTAGTCTCAGTTTCTAGATCTAGTATTCCACCAGGAAAGGTCACTTCAGTGTTTAGTAAGGAGAGAGACTGCCAATGAAACTGATTAAAGATACAAATTGCAGTGTGGGATAGGATTCAAAATACTGAGAAAACTCAGCAGATATTTTGTTAAATATGCTGTAATGACTTTCAGGTAAATTTACTGGAGATTTTGAAAAATTTGTTCTCAAATATCAACATTGCTTCACCATTTTGAGGAACTGATCACCTAAATCCCTTCAGAATATCATATTTTTCTTTCATGTATCAGAAATAACTTGTTTTTGTCAGATTTTTCTTTTGTTGAAAAGAAGGAATGTGCTGGCTAATGTCAAAAGGAAAATTAGATAGCCTGATGCAGAAATTTTCAAGGAAACCAAGGTGATGCCCTTAAAAAATTACTTTGATAGTTTTTCTACCTATTTTCTGGGCAAGTTCCCTCTGTGATTTGTAAATTCTCTCCTTTCATAATTTCCCTGAACCCCAGACAGTTTCATTGGTTCTGACACAGAGTGAACAACTGAAAACATTCTTCAGTAGAGAAATATACCAAACTTCACTTTCACAGTTGAGGGTATGAGGGAAAAAAGAGATGGTTTTAGGCAGCGAGACGTGAAGGACAAGTGGTAGGCCTGTCACAGCTGCTGATAGCTTGGCGATGGTTGTACATCATCTTCCCTCCGCTGGCTCATGGACCTGTCTCAGCCGAAATGCAAACGTGCAAAATGACACGTTTATTTCTCAGCTTAAACCTTGGTACTTTCAGGCTTCCTGTGCATCAATGGTTTATTTCTTTCCACAGATGTGCTGCCACCAGTGCCAGGGCAAGGAGATAAAACCGCTACCATGCTTTCTGACGGAGCCATTTACAGCAGCATCGACTTCACCACCAAAACCAGTTACAACAGCTCCAGCCAAATAACGCAGGCTACACCATATGCCACCACCCAGATCCTGCATTCCAACAGCATCCACGAGTTGGCTGTTGATTTACCAGATCCGCAGTGGAAAAGCTCAATTCAGCAAAAAAATGACCTCATGGGATTTGGTTACTCTCTCCCAGACCAAGGCAAAGGCAACAATGGTAATTACAGCTGTTATTTTCCAGAGCACTTGGCTTTTTGTTCTGTGTCATCTGTGCATGAATTAGAAAATTCTTTTTAGCTCTGTGAGACACTGTTCATGTTGACCTGAACTAATGCTTGCACACCTTGCATGTGTGCTGAACCTCACCTGATCACAAAACACATTGCACTGTGTTTTTAATGCTCTTTGTCCTGTACTAGTCACCAAGCCATCTGTCTTCCATTAGGCTAGGGTAGGTGTACCTTTAAAAATAGCCAAGTTAAAACCTGCCACCCCACCCCATCTGCCCCTGACTTGCTAACTGCATGTGTCGCATGTGCTTGTGCTGTCGACTAATCCCACGATGCCACTGTGACCTCTGCCGTTTAACCCTTAGCCTTGCTTTACATCCCTGACTACCGGGTGGCTGAGGGACTGGCTAATAGATTGCCACACAACCAGTCACAGGATTTCAGCACCACCAGCTCCCACAACAGCTCCGAAAGGAGTGGCAGCCTCTCAGGTTGGTTCCGTCGCCGTGCACAGGGGAGCGAGGGACGGAGGGGTGTTGGCGAGTGCCTCGCCAGGGAAGCAAAAGATCTCCCAGGCAGCAGTTGAGGATAGCCATGAGAGTTCCTGTCCATCAGCAAACAATGACACATAGGACTCTACTGAAACAAAAAAGCCTTTTGCAGAACCTGCTTGGAGATAACTGGAGAGTGCTTCCATGTGGCGCTTGTTGGCACAGCTGCCAGCCTCGCCTTGTCATATCCTTTCCCTGTCACAGTCTACAGAGCAAATTTATTTCTGCATCCATCCTCAGTTTATAGGTCTCCCTACACTGAACTTCATGAGGAGATTATTATTTTTGTTGAGTTGTTAACAGATATCCCACTCCCACAAGCTGTTTCTAAATGCTGTTCCTCTGTGAAGCAGGTTGGAAATAGTTGTAGGGCCCTGAAAGGTGACTGGGGTTTCAACAAATTTTGCCACGTTTACATACAAACAGGATGTAAATTTTATGTGTGTGCTGCATGTTCTATTGGAAATATGATGCATTTTCATCAGATGAAAATGATCATAGTACATGTGATTGTGTATTATATCTGAGCACACCTTTTTCTTGATTTCTTTAATTTTGCTTACTTGTTGCTTATGTTATGTATAGTTGTCCTTTTTTTTTTTTTCTTTTTTTTTTTTTTGTCAAGACGAAAACTGAAAAGGCAACAGTTAAGATGAAAATCTGTGATTTCACCTAGCTGAAATATGGGAGCACTGAAAGGATTTACTTTTGAAATTCAGAATATATCCACAGCCTTTTAAATTCCCACTTTAAGCTGGATCAGTCCTCCCAGTAACAGGCCAAACCTAGAAATAGCTTATTTATGTCATTTTAAATGAGTATTCAAACTGAATCTTGAGATAAGATGCCTATTATCATTGGCTCATGATTCAGATAGCCAAATTTGTTTGCAAATCTTGCCTTCTCAAGGGGGAGCATTAGCTGATTTGACTGAGACAAAAAAATAGGCTTATGGCATTGTCAGAGAGGTATCTGGAAGCTGAAATACCTCAAGAAAAGTTCTTGTTCCTTGCATGTGATATATTGACAAGTAGCTTAGGAAATCAGCTTGCTTCCCAGGCTGCATGAAAATACAGAAATGGATGTGCTGAGGTACATATATGTCAGGTACCAGAGGGCAATATCACACTTTAGATATGTTGACAGCTAAGGCTGCCTAAGAGTTTTCTCAGAAAATAGGAAGTGTCACTGGAAAATGCCCTTTGATCAAAGGCTGGACTTTGATCAAATATTTCAAATGCAACATATTCTGTGTAGTGTTTCTCAGTCAGAAGTGAATTTGCTGATGACACTGGGAAACTTTGGGTTATAATCAGTCATATGGCCAGGGCAGTCTTCTTGTGACCAAGGCAGCTCACAACTGGATGCCCCAGTGCTCAGATGAGTGCCAGATTGTTGGACTGCAGAGTCAGTATTTTGCTCTCCCTTGCCCACTAATTATGCCTTTGATACAGGATAATTATGTCTGTAATACTCAAGAAACTGGGGAGACCTTCAAATAGTTTGATAATTAGAGCATCACTGGAGTCAGAGACCAGCTTTGATTACGTAGTCCCCATCAGGGTGAGCAGGGATTTCTTCTCTCATTTCCTTGGTTAGTACTTTAAGTAGTGCTTATTATTCTGACTAAGTTTCTGTCTCTCTTACATGAATATCACGAGAATTCCTGTCCCACTGTGGAATGGAAAACAGCTAAAACCTCACTTGCTTTATGAGGCAGGGAAATTTTATAGCTATAGTTTGCACAGATGATGTCTGTACTAGGATAAGTAGCCCAACTGGCAAATTCTTTCTCCCGGTTCACCTAGAGATTTAAACAATATAATTGAATTTCAGTGTGAGGAGACATTGAAGCATCAGGCATTGTTGCTGTGGGGAAACAAGGTTTTGGTGCATCAGTTTTCAAATACAAATCAGGCTTTATATGTTCGGTGTCTGTCCCATCAGTCTGACAGTGGAGTAACTGCCTATGGGAACAGAGGAGAAATCTCCTGCCCCACTGTACCGTGTAGGCTGCTTTCCCCTACCAGCAATGACCTTGGAGTTCTCTTCTTCCATTTCTTCATCTAAACAAGTCCCTTGTCTCTCTGCTTCACTCCTTCTAATATCTCCATTATCTCTAATTTCTCTCTTTGAAACTCCCAAAATCCAAGTGACTCACTCCCATATTAACACTCCACATGTCAACCTACATTTTACCAGTCTCCTAAGATCATCAAGATGATACACTTTCAAAATCTTCCTCTACACCTCAGCTTAATCTCTAAGCTGAAGTTGTTTGCATTTCCCTTCTCTGTGTGTTCCTAGTTTAATTCTTCCTGCAACATAAAAACCATTCATGTGCTTTTCTCCTAAGGCAGACTCACCTGCTTTAGTTCTTGTTGGCTCCTACTCCTGATGACTTTTAAAATATTTCTCCATGTCCCACAAATTAAAACTAATTACTTCCTTTGCACTGTTCAGTGACCCTATTTCTAACTCCACATTTTTTGCCCTACCTGTGCTTTGAAAGCTTCACTTTCCCTCCAGTATGTTCATATATTTGTTCCTCTGTCTCCAGTCACTGGAGTTTCTTTTCACCAGTCAAAATGTTCTTTCCCTTTTCAAGAAATCTGCCCCCTCTGCCAGGCTACAAACAGAAGGAAGAGCCTGTTTTCCATCCTAATAGAAGTAACATCAGCTCAGTTCACACATAATGAATCACAGGATCTTGGCTGGACTTACTATAAATACTCAAAAAAAAGGAAGGAAGAGCTTTGGTCTGGAATTGAGTACTGGAAAGCAAAGTCTCACTTGCAATGTGATGCCAGCCAGGTCAATTAGAAATATTGCTGGGCTTGTTGCCTGTCTCTAGCAGATACAACAGGAGGTGAAAAGAGAAGTCTTGGCTGCTTCTGAGTCACAGAATCACCTTTTTCTTCCCTCTCTATTTGTTCCTGTTTTCATCCAGCTGATGTTTGGAGGTAACAGAAGAAAGCCACTGTCTCATAGACAAAAATCCCATGACAGGGGCTTGTCTCTATTGCTAGAATTTCACCTCCTTCTGTGTTTCTCTGTGCCTGAAGTTGGAACCATGGCGCAGAGGAGGGTGCCTGCCAGTGCACATCATGCCACCCTCCCTGACCAGTCAGTTGTGGCTTTCTTGATTCATTGATTCATTTTCACATGAAAATTCACACTTTTTTTTGGTTGATCATTATAAATCATCAGGGGACATCAGTAGGTGAGATGGATTAGAGTGCTTTCTGCAACAGGCCAGGGATGAGTGAGAACAGCTGGGTATCCCACTGAAAAGGCATCTGACAAACCATTCCTCCACCCAACAAAGAGTTTGAAAGCCACAACAGAGCTCCAAAAAATATATGAGTCCCCAGGCAGTCAAGGGATTCGAAATGTTGAGCCATTCTTCCTCTTAATGAATTCCTGACAAGCAAAAGAAGTCAGGACAAAATAAAAGAAACAAACCAAGTGGGATGAGAGCTTTCTCTGTAAGATCACTTTCCCACAAATGGAAGTGTTTCAGCTGGAGAAGTGGATCCAAGGACAGTAAGAGAAGAGCAGAGGGTTTAACCAAAATCCGTTGCTCACTTCATTTCTACCTCACCCATTAGAGCTTTGTACCAGAATAGAACCTCTTCTCCATAGTGCACCAAGATACTTGAATCCGTTGAAACAGTCAGTCCTAACACATTGTGCATGACTTCCTGCTCTTTTAAGAAAAACATAAATTAGGAAATTCCTATCAACAAAACCCTGTTTCTTTTTTTTTGACAATTTACTCTTGTCTTGAAAGTCCTGACTCCAATGACATTTTTGGATAGTATTCTTAACCTCTGTGTTTTCCACAGAAAGTGGTTATGCAAAACTGCAATATAATCACAGTGGATTCTGACATTTGAAATAATTTGCAATGTGTTATTATAATTTTATATAAGAGTGAATTCAAGAAGTTATAAAGTGCACATGAATAAATCAGGAAATATATTTCTTATGCAGGTAAATGTGTCTTTCCTCGTTTCTGCACTACTGTGGTGCAAATGTACAGTGGTATAAAAATAAGTGATTTTCAGTAAATATTCAGAATATTCTCCATTCCATTCTATTATTACTTATAACCTTGTGACAGCATTAGCACGTTGATGTTGATTCTGCTAAGGGTATAAATACATCTTTTTTGGGGCATGTGCTCTGGAATCAGAAATCTGTCAAAGAAACATAAATAGCTGGCCTTTATTTCCACATTATAGCTCTAACATTTTATTTTTCTTTTTTTGGATTTGCAGGTGGCAAAGGAGGGAAAAAGAAGAAAACCAAAAATGCTGCCAAGCCCCAGAAAAATAATGGTTCAACCTGGGCCAGTGTTCCCCTCCCACCCCCTCCTGTGCAGCCACTTCCAGGCACAGAGCTGGAGCACTATGGGGTGGATCAGCAAGAAGCAGGGTAATTTTTTTTTTTTTCTTTTTCTGTTGAAGAAAATCTGTGATTTGCAGAAATGAGTCCTTTTCTATTTTTTATTTTTTTTAAATTTTGCTAAGTGACAATATTATTCTGTTTTGTTTAAAAAAAATAAAGAGAGAAAAACTTATCCTGTAGGCTTATTCAAGGCTGTGGAGGAGGAATGTTTGAATAGCTTCTCTGGATAGTGACTGAAGATGGAAACATAAGTGACCTTGCTTCATCATCATGTAGGGCATCAGTGATTTCTCATGCTGAGAACTATCTCACTTCACAGGTAGCTTAATTGAATTCTGGGATGGCATGGAGCTGATGGGACTCAGAGTGAGTAAAGATGACATAATCTGGCTCTGTGTATTTTTTTCACTGCTTTGATGTTTAAAAATATTAGAGCCAACAGAACAACAAAAAAAAACCCACCAAATTGAATTAATTTTTGAAGATCAAACAATGGATAATAATCTTCTCATCGGCTTTTAGAAGAAATTTCACATTTGAGGAAGGCATGCTAATTATAGGCTTTTTTTGTTATTATTCAAAAAACTTTCAAGTTTCTGGGACCTTCCACATATTTTTGCATAGCTCAAACTTGTTCTCAAGGACACAAAATCACACAAGAAGTGCTAAATGAGAGGAAAGAGACATTTCATGCAGACAACAATTATGAAATACTTGTTATAAAGTGTAATTATGTGATATACCAGGTTTTAAAGCTCTGGAGGTAAATCAGAGTATATAAAAACATAGTTTACTGTGGGTAGCTCTGTTGGAGCCTTTGAGAATATTTTTTCTGTCAGGGACAAATTTCCATCTGTTTCAATACATGGATCAATCAATATTTCCTACGGATGAAACATTTTTAAGAATACATTGTAATAGCTTTACTGAATAAAAATATTTCAAACATTATCTCAATTGTAAGTGGGAATTGATCATTACTACTTTCATAATTAAAGTTAGAAAAATTCTATATTGTTTCAGTTTATACCAACTCCTTTGACTCTTATAATGAGCAATAAATGACTGTGTTGGTCAGTGAAGTTCTTCTTAAAATTAAGGCCCATTCAGGCTGTATTATAGTTAAAATTTCAAAGTAATGGAAAATTAATAACCTTACTGATTGTGAGTGTTGTTTAAATCTAAAGGCAAAGCGTTCATTTAATCATTGTCTTCTGTATTCTGTTATAAGAGGCTAAAATAAATTTAAAATTGTTTCACCATATAATAATTTTGTCTTTATCAGTTTATATCCTTAAAACACATGTGCAGCCATTTCACTAAAACAATTATGCAATAGAAGGCAAACCACTTGGATTTTCTTCAGAACAATGAAATAGCATTAAAGGTAAATGGAAATACCTTGTAGAGAAATCCCTTGTGACACAGGGTTTGACTCCTCAGTTGCATAAAGCACCTGTAATTTAGCTGGAAAGGAATAATGTTGGTCACCAAGTCAACATTGGTTATTTAAAGAGAAGGTAATGACCAGCCTCTAGGTTCACAACCATTCAGACTTAGTTTTTCCTCTGATTATGTTTTGAATTACTCTTCTCTGGTTTTTGCAATGTCTCATTAGCAATGGTGGTAGCAAGACCTCATAACGTGCATTTTACTAAACACAGAAAAAATTTGAAAGTTGGACTTAGAGTCTCCATCTGGAGCTACAGTCCACCTTTGATGAAGACTGAATCTGCAATGCCCATACTTTCTGAGAATGTTTCCAATACTAATAGTCCTTCTGTATTCAGGGGGTGGTCTTGTTTCTGTGGTTTTCAACATGCTAGAAGGGAAAGAATCATAGACTGCATTCCTTATGTTGCCTTGGACATACTGGGTTAAAGAAAAGCCACATTTTTTAACTCATGTTCTTCTTGGTTTGTTTTGATTTACTCTATCTATGAAAAATTCAAAGTGGTTTAATTCTAGAATTAGTAACATGGAGATGTAATTATATTGTGAATTACAATGGAAAAGTGAACTTCCAGTCAGAAAACCTTACGCCTTTAATGAAATTCTCACAATATGATACAAAATATAAGTGTTTAGAGCAATAAAACAAGGAGGGTGGCATTGAAATAGAGACTTGTTTTTCTGTGTGTCTTCTTATAACAATTAAATTTAAATGTGAGTTTCATTGGCACAATTATCACACAAAAACTCAAAAAATTTGACACCTAGTTTTGCTTACTAGCTATTCACCTTATAAGCATTAGTGAACTGCTAAGTTGCAAAATATAATCCACAATTACAAGTGATATTAAAAAAACCCACCTAACGTAACCTTACACAGAAAAAATAGACTCAGTTTTCTGTACCATCTTCTTCCCAGAGGCACTAGGGTTATGCCTCCATTTTTCCATAAACTGCAGAAGGAAAAGTGAATATCTTACTCCAACTAGCCCTGTTATGTAATGTTGTAGCTTTGGGGATATCTTAGATTCCTGTTTAACCTCAGCAAACAGCTTGTTTGTGCCAATTAAGTTTCTCTTTTCCTATAGTAGCTTCCAAACTGATATGATCCTTGTCCCACCCTTTTCAGAGAAGACTGTGTTGCTTGATTTTATGTAAACTTGACAGTAAAGAAATGCTCATTTCTTACTCATTATCTTTTACTTTGATTTTTCACCAATAATATGCATGATCTTGAGACAACCCAGTAAAGGCAGTCAGCATATTATTTGGTTATTTCTGTTTCTTGATATTGACTACACCTCAAAATGGAATATTAGCTGCTGAATGTCAATATATTTGATACTTATTGTCTATCTTTAGGAAAAGTTATGGAAATAGTACCTTTTACTTCAAAAAATTCTTTCTGGTGAGTTCCAGGGAGGGAAGCTTCATTTGTTGCAACAATATGTGTAATGAAACACAGTTTTTACAGAATGTGCCTGTAGTTATCACCTTTATTTTATATTTTGAAGGAAAAAAGTCTATTAACATAATGAATCGGGCTTTTTAATAGTAAAAGATTACTATGGAATAGAAGTGCTAACAATACAGTAAAATGTATTAGAAAAATAGAGGCTTATGTTAACCAGAACTTATTAGGGTCTTAATTATAATGAAATTACAATCAGAGATTGCTAATGAAGTTAAGGCACTTAGATTTCAATAAGTGTACTTGAAAAAAAGCAGCATTTTCACCACGCTGGATTTACTCAAAAACCGAAAAAGAGCACAGATGTGGCCAATAATCACTATGGTGATACCAGATGTTTCTATATCTGTATTACTTTTGTGACATGTAGTTACTATGTACTCTGTTAGGTTTACTTTTTCCTTTTTTTTTTTTTCTTTGTTGGTTGTGGTTTTTTGGAGGTTTTGTTTTATTTTGTTTTTCTCTAAAATGAAGGTTAAGACTTGTGGCTTTTCAGACACCTTATATTAAGAAGACAAAGGTTTTTGTACCTGAAATCTTGAATCTCCATGTCCTGAACTTCAGGCTTAGGCCTCTTTCCATTTCAAACAAAATTTAGGTAAAGGTACAGTACTTGTGCAGAATCTTTTCACTGAGAAACCTTTTTACTAAAAAACCTTTTTGCTACCAAGCTGAACATTTGGGGATTTGAAGCGAGCAGGGTCAGAAGGCAAGCACATCCAAAGCTCGTTTATTCATCATTGCAAAGTCACCTGGGAGTGCCTTTTTCCCCTGTCCCTTTTAAAGAAAAGGCATTATAGCAAACCATGAGGTGAGAGAGCAAAAGGAAGCAAGAGAACTGTTGCACTGCACAGTTTTCGCAGCATCATTTAGGATGGTCCCTTCAGCCTTGGTTGCAAATGTCCTGAGTAAACATTGTTTGGAAAGACAAATTACAGCTGGTCACATCTTCATTGTTTGCTGAGGATGAATATGTATCATGTAACATTTTCTTAAATCTCTGTGTTATGAAAATGGTAATGATCAATCACTCAACCTCTCCTAGAGGCCAGATGTTAAGAAGCAGCCTTTATATTCACTTCTGTGCTCGTATGTGTTTGTAGATCTATTTATGGTTATATCTACATATATAGAGATTTAAATTTATGCACGTGTGAATTACCAGATGTATCTTCTATGGACTTTTGGATGAGTAGGTCAGATTGTTTTAGCTGTCTTGAATCTGTGTGTTTAAATACAGACTACAGACTTCTGAATAAGGAAAAAATAGTTTAGTTAATTTAAGAAATCTTTGGGTTTTGCTGAAAGTAAATGTTCTGTTCGTAATACAGGTTCTGCAACTTTTACATCTCAGTGTTCCCAGCCTTTTTATAACCCGGTTTCACCCTTGGGAAAATTGACAGTAATTCATTTTTCTTTGGGAAATTGGTAAATCCTTCCTTCCAAATCAGAAGCTCTAAAGGAGTATTTTTAAGCCATTTTGAGAAATTAACTGTATCATGCAATGCACTGCCTGCCTGCATTGCAGAAAAAAGGACCTTGATAGCAGTCCTTGAAGGTGGAAAGAAGATAAAGTGACTTAGATGATGCTTGGGAAATGGCCTTTAAGAGTGTGTGATGATTTGACAGTGAAGGAGCTGTGAGAGCTTGTGGTTGTCTGGTTGTTTTTTGAAGGAAAAACAAAAAGGCCACTGTGTATCCTGAGGTATTTTGGAATACACTGAGTTAAGAAGAAATGTGTGCTGATGCTCAAGGGACTGTTGCCTGACTGGATGTTTTGAAGATGGAAAAAGTAGACAGTTGAGATTTGAGTGATGTGATTGTCAGCAAAGCTACGTACAGCTGAAGTTATGTTCAGATTAGGGAATTACTCTGGGGAGATAATGTACAGGGAATGACCACAGTCACTAAAGCCTATCCACCTGGAAAGATGCCAGAGTCTCTAAGGGACAGCATCCCAGGATAATACTGTAATACAACACTGAATTGAAAGATCCTCTGATGGGTGCAGAGACTGAAAAGAACTTAGTTGCTGGCAAAACTTGTGCAAGAAGTGGTAATAAAAGATAAAGCTTTTGTTTCTAACCCTGATCAGATATAGCACCACCCCTTACACCTCTGGTATAAGGCAACAAAAACCACAAACTCCTACCAGGACACCCTTTATGTCTGAAGAAAGAAGAATTTGTTATTCAAGAATACTCCTAGTGGTTAATATTTCCATTTGCTTTGGGCAGGTGTGTTGAAAGTGTTCAGAAATGTAGCACAGTCTAGGTAAGTCCCAGTACAGATTGGCTAGGAGGTGGGGTGCTGGCAGAGCTGTCAACATGTGTGCTAATGTACCTTGTCAGCTGGTGCTGTGACACAGCATATGCTCGGGGTCAGTGCTGCTGTGACATGGATGTATTGCACATCATAGGAGATACCCGTGTGCAGAGTGGGAAGACCAGAATTTATGAGGAAAGTGTAGCTTTTTATTTAAGCTCCAAACCAGAAACAAATGGTGAATTTATAGACAGGTAAAGGGGAGGGTGGAAGTAAATGGATAATGCTCTTGGGTTCATGATGTGACTCTTGGGGATGGTGCTGTGCAGGGCCAGGAGTTGGACTTGGTGATCTTTGTGGGTCGCTTTCAACTCAGCTTTTTCTGGGATTCTGTGAAACAAGTGCTACTACATAAAGCCTGCTCTACCTTTTAAGAATGCTGCTATTTTCATGTCCAGGTCAATATTCATTCCCCTACGTTAATGATCCTGGAAGTGAATTAGTTCATTTTTATTGTTGATTGTGGTGTAATATTATCTAATCACCATTAACGAATGTGATAATGGGTCAGCAATTTTTCTGTTGCATATCTTGCTCAAGTTGCTTAGCAGTTGTGGGAAAATTAAACTGACTCAGTAAGGACAATCTAAGCAATTATGACCCTATTTTAATTAAATCTTAGTACACACACTGTGTGCAAAGTTTCCAGTTGTAGCAGGATTCTTGCATACCCTCTACACCCTCTACTGTGCAGCAGAGATGAGTTTTGATACACACTAAGTTTATTTGGTTCTTATTTTAGATATGACAGTGATGGTTGGTGTCCACCTTTGCCAGTTCAGACCTACCTACATCAGGGCATGGAAGATGAGCTTGAAGAAGATGATGATCGTGTCCCCACCCCTCCTGTCCGAGGAGTAGCTTCATCTCCTGCCATCTCCTTTGGGCAACAGTCGACTGCAACTCTCACGCCTTCCCCACGAGAGGAGATGCAGCCAATGCTTCAAGCTCACCTTGATGAGTTAACAAGGGCTTACCAGTTTGATATAGCAAAGCAGACATGGTAAATGTTATGGTTGAATGGGTCACCTGTGATCAGGGAAATGAAATAGTAATATTATTATTATTAATAATAATAATAATAATAATAATAACAACAATACTAAATTCCTTTTTGACATAAATAATGACTGTGTTCAACAGCGTTTCAATTGTGTTTCCAAAGAAGTAAAATGGAGGAAGGAATAGCAAAACTCTACCCACAGCTGGAAGGCCTTACATATCTGTATGTGCTTTTTAAATCATAATAATATGCTAAATTTTGTCTAAAAACACGTAAAAACACTATTCCTCCTACATTTTGCTAAGTAGTTAATACCCACCTCCTGACAGCTTTTATACAGTTGAGAGTACTCTCTTCTCAGGCTAGCAGAAGACAGAATTTTTTTAGGATTTTCAAAAATAATAAGGTTCTAAATTCCTGATTAAAATTAATGATAGTTTCTTGAAATAGCAATGTGGCAGCTTTTGCACTGTGTCACTTGAGAATGAATTATTTGCATCTCTGTACTTTGAACTACCATGAGAATTTCTGATTCATAGGAAAAACCCAGAAACAGCAGAAAGCAAGTTGTTAGCATTTATAGGATGGATCTAGTGTTTCAGAGTGCTTTATGCCTGTTTAAAGGAAAAGCAAGCAAATACCACAGTAACATTTCCCCTGCAAAACAAACAGAAGCAATCTCTTCAGGGACTGAAAAAGAACTTGTCAACTGCACCAGGCTGGGGACATGGTGAAGGTCAGCTGCTTCCTGGATGTTCCCTGAGCAGCAGTTGTCCTTTTACAACTCTTCCACCCAGACAAAGCCCGCGACTCTCAGCGGAGCAGAGCAGAGCTGGTTACTGAATGGCACGCTGCCAGCAGAGGAGCAGCCTTTCTTCCCTGCTCAATAAAGCCACGAAGTTATTCAGCCTGAGCTCCCATAAATACATCAGGCAGGTAGGCAGGCGGTGCCAAACCAAAGCCAGCTGTTTTCCTTGGGCACCGTGGAAGCCTCGGGGCTTGTCTGCAATCTGCACTCAATCAACAGGGTACCAAGGCCCTGCCAGGCACCAACCCCAGCCTGCCTGTGGGACAGACCCAAATCCCAGGCAGCAGCTAGCCCTGGCCTGTTGAAGGTACTGGCTTCTGAGCCAGCACACAGATGCGCGCCCCGCCAGCACAGGCAGCGGCTGCTGCCTTGTGCAGCTGGTACCCTTCCTACGCCCTCCAAAACCTCCAAACCAGCGCAGCCACGGATAACGGAGCAGCACGCTGCACCAAAGCCTCGTGCAGCTGGCAGGAAAGCTCTCGCTCCCTTTTTGGGGAAATGAAAATCGATTGGGAAGTTTCATAATGTGCTTAGGATTATACAGATTTTAAGGTCGCTCTTTTGCAAAGTCACAGTAATTGAGCCTGAAACTCCAAAAAAAAATAACAAGGACATAACCTTTTTTTCATACCTTTTGGGCATTGGGCTAAATGCTGAGGGTGAATTTTACATACAAATTATTTTTATTACATTTTAATGTAATTACAATTTAATGGATTTTTTTTAATATCTTTTTGTTGTTTGGCTGGATATGTGTCATGCTAGTCAAAGTTAGTAGAAAGTCCTCCATTGTTTTGACTGGGAAGGAATATTTTTTCAGTCTTCTTTTCACACAGTTAACCTGTCCATTGTAGAGACCAGGGAAAATTAAACAGCAAAATGAGACCTGTCTGGGTCTCAGGGTACAACTGAGAAATACAGACATCAGCCAACTAGGAATTTAAGAAAGAGCCCATTAGAGATTACTGGAAAAGTACATAATCATTATGGCCTTGATCCAGCAAATCACTTAAGTATATGCTTAACTATGAGTACATGAGAAATTGACTTCAATTGTTCTATCACAAGCTTTACATTAAACATATACTTAAGCATTTTGCTTGATTAGGAGCTAATCACACTGTTTATTGAGGGTTAGTTAGATGGTAGTGCCCTTTAGTGCCCCAGTGTTTTGAACACTGTGTAGAACACTAAAAACCTGGTGTCCAGGCAGAAAAGTGTTCAATAACTGTTAATCAGAAGGGGGTTATATGTCAGAAAGGAAGCACTTGTTCTGGAAATTAGATTCAGAATAAGCAATAAGTTAAAACCTACACTGAGGTGGAGAAAGTTACCAGTGGTACATAACATTTACCATGACATTTTCATATCTGATAGATTTACACGATGAAAATTTTTTAAAAAAGCTCATTGAATAAAGAGAATTCATTCATGCAGGCAGTAATTCAGTACAAAGTTTCCACTGAAAATGTATTACAGCTAGGAGCCAAACAGGTGACAATTGTAATTTCTTCAGTTTTACTGATGTCCAAGCAAGAGACCAGCAGAATCCTGGATCCCCTCCAGAGTGCTGCCGATTCAAATCAGGTCATGGCACCTCATGTAGAGCCACCCAAGGATTCCCACGTGCCTAAGTTAGCAATTTCAAGTGTGGTACATGCTCTTGTGCCAAGGCCAGTCATGCCTGGGTCCTCTGGCACAGCTTACTGTGTACCTGTTGTGCTGTGGGGAATGCTGCTCTGAAAGCTTTTTTCTCAGAGACCAGGCAAATCATGAATCCTATGCTTGCCTTTGGCCGTTTAGCTATCTTGTGGGTGCTTTTTTGTCTTCTTTTTCCTTTTTTTTTTTTTTTTTTGCTTTATGTAATTGCTGCATGCAGTAATTTCACACATGCATGCCCTAATACTGCTGCAATTAAATCAATTAAACTTCTTGGAATAAAGGAAAATGAAAAGGCCTCGCTGATGATGCGTTCATTGGACTTGAAAATTTCTTCTGTCCTACTGGCCATTTCCTCCTCTTTAGGGTGACTTTTGCTTCAGGCACTGCATCTGTTTAAGCGGAAGGAGTGAGATTTAACTTTTGTTCAATGTGTGATTTGCAAGGGGGAATATTGGGTGAGACACTTATGTGCTGGGCTGGGATTCAAAATTGTGCTTTTCCATGGGTTTCCTACCTGATTTATGTAGCCTCTGTGTCTACTGCTCTCCATCTGTGAGAAGACACTCCTGACCTTCCCCATCCTAGAGGATTTTATCTTTATTCTTTTTATTTAAGAGTGGAAAGTTAGAAGCACTCTGGTATTAGAAGCTGAATTTTCTTGAGTTTGGCCTAACCAAGCATGTTTTGTAAATATACTTCAGGACTTTTTGAAAGGTTTGTGTTATATTGACCATGGGCTGCAAAATCTTATCCATTCTGATAACTTTTCCTGTTTCTTTGTGTAGGCACATCCAAAGCAATACACAACCTCCTCAGGCTCCAGTTCCTCCCCTAGGATACGTATCTGGAAACCTTATTTCAGATTTGGAAACAGATGTTCCAGATGACGATGATGATGAGGATGATATTGAAGAAGAAACTGTAGAAATCAGTAGACCACTAAGAGGTCTAGAGCATACTCCAGGCTCCAGTATGGACAATCTAGACAGCTCTGTGACAGGTAACCAAACACAGTGACACCAACTTGTTACTACCAGTAAAATACATCACCATTTGGACACTTTCGAAGCGAAAATTTATTCCACTCGATTTCTGTAACATTTAAAATGTTAATACTAAACACTAAAGTTAAAGAAGGATTTGGAAATACTTTGCTTTGCTGAAAAATGATAAGGAAATTCATGAATTTTAAAAAGCTTTAAAAGACTTGAAAGGAAATTCAGTTATATCCTGGCTTTCATGAAAGGCTCATTCTAGTAGAGAAGCAAGGCAGTTACATAAAAAGGAGGGGGAAGACCTCATCTTAGAAATATATATTTCATAAATCAGGAGGAGCATAAAAATGTTATCTTAAAACACTTTTAGATATTCTGCTGGGCAAATGCTTTCCGAGATAAACACAAGGAAGTTAAATACTTCAGAGTAAGTGTAGCTAGATCTGCACAACATTTATTTCTAGAGTAAACACAACATTTATGTTGGAAAATGTGCATTTTAAACATACTTTGTACTGCTGAATTGATCAATTGTTCCCTTTTAGAGAATCTGTTTAATAATTCTGACCCTCCTTCCCTCACTTCTCCCTGTCCTTTGCATGCTTTGGAAAATTACATCATCATCAAAGGGGACCTAGAAAGAGGACCTGCTGTAATAAACTAATTCATGGAATCTGAATGAATTAAATTGCTGTTTCTGAAATGTAGGTAGTGAAAGACATTGTTTTTTGAAAGCAGATTTTTATGGACATCATGTATTATTTGTAAACATCAAGGTAGTTCTTTTTAGGTTGAACCAGGGCCTCTGTAGAGTGTACTGTGTCCATAGTGTGGAGGTGTGCTGGAGACCCAAATATCCCCAGAATCACAGTGTTAGTGGGTGCTGCTTCAGTTTTTGATCTCAGTAGAGGAACACTGATTGTTGGTTTTACCTTAAGGGAGACTTGTTCAGAACAGCTCCCTACCATAGCACTCCTGAGTTCCTTCTTTGTCTGGACCTCTGAAATACCAAGGCTTTTGCACTCAAAGATTGCTCTTCAGAAAACACTGCAGGAATATGACAGTGATGGAGCACCAATACTATCATTTTCTTCCTTTCCCTTGATGAATGAAATAGTCTGTAGTTTAATCCCACCTTCCAGGTTTTCCTTCACTCTAGAGCCAGGAAGCCAGCCAATCTAATTAAGATTTAAGAATTGTTTTTATGCTGCTTTGATTTGAAATCCAGATGCAACTGAAGGCCATAGAATTAAAGTTTAAATCCCTGAATTGAGAAGGTTAACTTTTTAGTGCATGCGTATGTTAACTCACTTTTCTTGCATTTCTAGTGTAATCTCCTTCAAGCTATAATTCTGCATATTTTTGCATATCTCACTAATGGCTCAGAGCCCTTTCTGTTAGCAATTCGCAAAGAGTTTTGCACTGGTAGAACAGCAATAAATAAATTTAAAAAAAAACAGGTTGGTATACATTTTGCTTTTGGTAGATATTAATATGGCAATGCTTATGTATCTGTAAATCAGAAAATGAATGTTTCCACATTTGCATCTTCACCTAATAGTTTGGATCACCCTCCCTAGAGCAAATAAGAAATAGTTGCATTCCTGCTCCAATTTTAAATTTTATTAAAATGAATACTTTTATTAATAACCTTAAAACTTGTAATAATATTTTTAAATCTTGTTTAATTTTTGGCATGTTAAATGTCTAATTACTTGAATTTTAAAGGCTTCTTGGTGTTTTGGAAGGAATTGGGCAGAACTTTATAATGTAGACTGGCAGTATGCTTAAGGTGATCTAAATTCACTTCCATTCATCACCACCATAAACTTCGTGTGGCCTCATCCAGCTGAAATTTAAGGTTTTTCTCTTGCTGCTTCTTTTGCTTGTTTAATTACTAGCTGGATAATTCCTTGCCTCTTGTTCACTGCATGGCAAGGTGTGTACTGGCACTGCAGGAAGGGAATGTGCAGCTGGAGGGGAAGTAAAATTATAGACTGCCCCTATAGCACTCAGCTATTTAGACTGACTTAATTAGGGAATGATAGCCTCACTGAAGTACACCTAGTGTGTTAGCTTAAAGGGTCTGTAAGATGGCAAAATCTCCAAATAACAAATCTACTTCTGTCTTCCTCGGTGGGTAAAGTCTTGATTTTAGAAGAGTCTGTATTTGGCTTGGTTGCTTTTTTTCTAAGGGTGGAAAGAAATTGGCTATTATACTTAGGCAAATTTTGTTTTTCAAAGGAGAATTTTAATTTTTGTTTATCTGTTTCTGTAAACACTTCTAGGCTGTTTGATGGTGTTAAGGAGTGTATAGCAAATTGCTTTAGTTGTTCCCAAGCTGTTTCTCATTCTTCAATTTGATTGCTTTTAAAATACTGTAGAACAACTAATTTTTTTTTCTTGTGCTGAGAATATATAAGCTAGTTCTTTTCACAGAGCCTTTGGTGACTTCAGCCAGCATTTTTCTAGGAATTTGTAGATCAGGTTTTCACTTCTCTAAACGTATTTGAAAATAGAGGCAAGTGAGAACAGCTGACCCAGATGAAGCAATATTTCTGTTCATTCTGAAGTGCCCTGGGAGTTCAGTGTTTGTGAGAAATCTAAATTGACATCCCTTGGTCCAGATTTCCTCCAAACAGAGTTGCTGTGGCGGGAGCAGGGCGAGGTGCCTCACCCTGTAGTGTTAGCAAGCCTCAGCAATGCCTCAAAGACAGCCACTCTTGGGCTGAAATGGGGCTTTGTTCTTCATGGCTGAGCTGAGAACAAGGATTTCCTGCAGTGCCAAATGTGGGATTCTCCGAGGGGAAGCATTGGCACTGCGTGAGCCAAAGCACAAACTCCTGAATCCCTCTGACACCACAGTGCTGCTCCTTTAAACTGTTTAAAAGTCAAGTTGTCTTCCAGGCCCTTGAGTTTTAGTCACAGCTAACTGAAGATGCAGACAAGGATTTAATCTGCACTATTAAGCTTTTCTCTTTGCAGGTGGCAGAGACATAATGTTGACGTGTATAATAAAGTGAAAAGAAAGGAGGAATGCACAGGAACTGTACCTTAACATTCTTCAGATATCACAAAGAGAATTCAAGGAGGGAGGTTTAAATTTGCACATCTGTGGGATGTAATATGAAATTAAAGCCAAGGTTTTGCTTCATTCCCAGTATAGTTTGTTAGGCTATTGAGTCACTGAATCTGCTTAAAAATAAAATAGAAAGAAAGAACCAAAAAACACTGGTAAAATTTTTCCTCACTTGACTTTTAATTCATAATTATTTAGGGTTATTTTTTGCTTTCAGAGACACAATGAAACATGTTTTTTTTCTTTCTCTTATGCTTAATGTTTGCCTTTATAACGAATTGCTGTACAGAGTTATGGCATGAGTGGCCACAAAGAGTCTGTTGCATTATTCTACTTTAATAGACTTAATTAATTGGATATGATGACTATAGAAGAAATTAATTTTCTTCTCACTGAAATCACTAAGAGCAAGCCTAGGTTTTTTCAGGTCAAATTGTTATGGTTTGGGGGTTTTCTTTGCCCTCCCCTTACCTCCTCCTCCTCCTGCAGCACCAGTGAAGCTGGTAGTGAGAGCTGAGTATCTTCAGTCCTGGTGCATTTTGACTGAAGGGAGAGTTTGACTCATTAACTAGCATGGAAAACAGAGTAAGACCTCTTCTATCTAACTGATATAAACTGATATAAACAGAGAGATATTTTTTGCAAACAGTGCCTCAAAAAATGGGTTGCGTTCTTTTTTTTTTCAATAGAATTATATAGATCTAAATCATAAAAATCTCTTCAGATTGTGTAGCTCAGCAAGGAAGAATATCCCTTATTTGACATGTTTTGGTCTTGATTAAAAGACTCACAGATCACTGTCTGTATAGAAAAAGTTGATAATTCACTGTGTCTGAGCACAAATGGAATAATTCTTGAAAACTGCACAATATCATTTTCATGAACCATATTTTACCATGGCAGAGCTCAATATTTGTATTGATTTGCTTAGGGATACCTATTGCAAAAGATTCTGTTTTATAAGCAGTTAGACAGATTGCATTTAATAGGAAGAATGTGCTTCTTGGATTAAATATGTGCTCAGAAAATAGGAAACTGCTACTTTTTGTATCTCATAAAAATGGTAATGCAACAATTAGCAGGGTCATATTATAAAGCACAGACTTTACTCTAGCTTAATGGATCTAGGGATATGCATTCATCAGCAACGATAGATTTAGCATAAAATGACATGTAAATGAATTGATGACTGATCATAAATTAATTTTAGTGCTGAAGAAGTAATAGAGAAACAGCAAGTTGCCACTTTATCATAGTATTTTACTGCTCAGCAACATTTGAGCAACTGCTTAATGTTCTGTGTGCATTTCTTTTCTAACAGCTTGAATAAATTTGAGAATTTTTTGTGCCTTTCAGCAATATGGAAACAAAAAAAATCTAGAAGGATGGAATGCAAACAGAAATAAATTTGGCTAAGTGACATAAATTCATTTTTCATTAGATGTTTATGAAGGACATTAATTATCATTGGACCTGTGAAATGCTGAATATCTATGTATGTTTTTTCCTCTTTTTTTTTTTTTTTTTAGTGTTTTCTGCCCAAAAATAAAACATTTAAAACTTAGAGATTTATTCCAGGTGTATGCATTTAAATATATGGGCATTTATGGTAGAGAAAAGTAAAAAAAAAAGTCTAGGTTTTGGAAGTGTGATCATATTTAGATTCTGCATTCAAACACTTCTATTATTCTTCCTTATTTTGATGGTACAATGACTATTACCCCTTCTCTTCCATTACTTCCACCAAAATCAGTGGGCATTCTTGCTGTGTAATCATGGCAGTGGTCAGACATACGCAAGAGAAGATAATATGTTCATCCTGTACAAAGGCTAAAAGAATTCTGTAACCGATTTCAGCTGAAGTAGCATCAGTCCCCAAGGACATCACCCACACTTCAGAAACCTAAGCAGTCTATCCCTGTTCCA